ATTTACTGACAAAAACCAAACTAAGAATGATACTTAAAAAATTCAAAATGCAACATATTATCGAAGAAAGGGGGAATAATGTAATGCCAATTGTGTTTCAATATTCATTGAAAATCGTACGAATAACATCGATATAAAACACGATAAAAAACATAGAAACAAGTTTCTCTTCGAGAAACAATATTTGCACATAAGAATAATCATCGTTTGATCACAGTTTTATGTTGGACACGTAGTACGAAGTATAAGTATTACATTTTCGATCATTTTTAATAAAACAACCAATATCAGTCCTGAGAACGAAAGGATAACTCCATGGCACCAATCAGCATAGAATATAATAAAAAATGAAACCTGAAAACAATTTTTTAAATTCTTTTGCAATGAAATTAGACCGTTTATAACGTTTTATAAATTTATTTTGAGATAGAGCTTTTTCGCAATGCGAAGAATAAGGTGCCATCGCATACGCAACGATATATCGTCGTTCGGCACTAAAAGGGTTAAGTATGTGGATTACGGCATTCGTGTCAGAACTGCAGTTTTTTGTGATATTGGTTGAGTTTTCATTACCAATGGCGTTCTCTAGGAAGCTTTTAAGTTGGGTATAGTTGAAGACGAGGTTATTAGTGGGGTCTTCTAGGATTTGTTTAACTGGTTTAATATTTAATTTAAATTTAAATGTAGTTTTTGGATTGAGTTCGTGGTGTGATTGACTTTCAGCTGAGGTTACTAGTGGTCTTTTATTTCTAGTGGGGGATCGAAAGATTTCTGTCTTGTGATGTGTCGCTGAGTGTATTGCTGGCGTTAATCATAGACGGGTCAGTGGTAGTGGTGTCGCGATTTTCGTTTTCTTCTTAGTTTCCTGTTTTGGTTATGTTTTTGTATGACATACTTATGGTTGCTTGCGTGTTGTTGAAATATGTTGTTTGTTTTATTTCCCTAGGTGTGTCGTTGTTGATTTCTTTATCGTTAGCTGTATTGGCCGTTGTTGGTTGGGTGTGTGAGGTGCATTGTTTTGCAATGTGTCCCTCTTGTTTGCACAAAAAGCAACTTATTTTGTCGATGGAAACGAATATTCGGTACTGTGTGTCATCATGGGTAAATAAGAACGATTCAGGAAGTTTTTGGATATATTCTGGGTTGTTAAGGATTATTAAGCCATATGCGTTGTCCCATCTTGGGACAAACCCCGGATCCAGAAGACCCTAACGGGGTCAGCCAGATTCTAATTGCTGTTTTATTTCAAGTTCTGTGTCCTTTCTTTCTTCATTTTCAATACATTTTCAAACAATTCTTTATTTTCCTCGTGTCACCGGACACGAGGCATTCTTTAGGCATTAATGTTAGAAAGCAGGCAACAACACTTAGGATTTGGCTGACAATAGGCCTACAAAGGAGACAAAGCAGACCTGGTCGCGGAAGACGTTCCTCTCTTCTTTGGGGGCATCTGATTCGCGAACCGAGGGCCCACCCTCGGTCCTGTCAACCACCATTGGGAAAACCGATTTCCTTTTGGCAATCATGGGCTTCGAAAGATCGTGCATCACACAGTTAGTTAGAAAGTATCCATCACTCAAGCAGTATCAAACTAAGAGGCAGTTAGTCCAGAACAGTCAACCAGTCAGTATCATTCCAACAGTCAGTTGGTCAGCACACATCAGCACACGTACATCAGTACACATCAAGCAGTCTGCACAGACAGTCTGCATCATCAAGTACTACATAAGCTTTGTGGATAGTCAATGCCGTGGATTGACTATTTGCTATATAATCAAATCGGGCACCTACAACTCATAACGTGTGGCAACGTCCAAGCATTGGACAACCGAGCGGAAGACAACCGAACCATTTGGTCCTTCACGCCCGTCTGCAGCACAGTTGGCCTTACAACCCAACAACGTGCCTGCCCCACGAACCTGAGCACCAGATTGTGTCCGTAACATGGGTCTACGTAAATTTGTCTTCTGAAACTCATTATATGTGCGAAGAAGGGTTCTTGTAATCCGGCTCGAAAGAAGTATAATACATCTTTTGTAAAATTATATTCCTTTCCTTTTTTTTTGCCAAGATATAGTACTTTAAAGTTACTTAAAATACAGAGTGTGCTATTTTGTTCTGTATTGTACGGGAATTACGAGAATCGTGTGCTCATCAGCTTCCCTCTGGTGGCAAGGGTAGAAAGCTTGCTGCAATTCTATAGTAGACTTACAATCACAGCTTGTATTATAACCTCGTAAATTATTTCTATGATTGAATATACAATCTGATCCAGGAATTCTGTCTAGCTGAATATCTTCGTTACTTCAAACATGTAAAAATGTTACTCATGAAAGTTATACAGTTCGAAGAAATACATGCCATTTGTAATTTCTTGCAGATGAAGACGTTGAGGAGATATATAGGGTGTCTCAAAATTCACGCAAGATTCACGTTTGATAGAAAACACAGGTTTCTGATTAAAAATGATAAATATTGGTCAACAATGAAGACGCGTTGTTCTTTTGTGTAGCTCTCTATTTTTAATAACGCTGAAATATCAGCTGTAACGCTGTCTTTTTTCTCTTCATTAGCAACACTTTACCACACAAATAACATAAAATTTAAATCTTGCGTGAATTTTGGGACACACATTAAAAGTCAAGTTTGTTTTTTTATATATAACTTTTTATACTCTATTTCAAGAAATATCTCCTTTCTTCTACTTACACTTACTTTACTTAACAGCTTTTTATGTTTTCTTACGCTTTTCCTTCGTTTTTTCTTTACTCCGTTCTGAATATTTTTCTTTTTTTACGCACTTTTCTTCTTTCTTCTCAATACGTTTCAAAATCATAATAGGATAAGTACTAACTAACAAAATGTAAGAAAGGAGGTAATGATTTGCAAAATTTTGTACATTCTTTATTTTTTGAAATACGTACATTGAAATTAAAAATAGGTTTTATATAAGGTATTTAAAAGCGGTTAATATAGGATGTCCCAAAATTCACGCAAGATTTGAATTTTACTCTGTTTTTACGGTAAAGCGTTGCCAACACAAAAGAGAATACTAAGATACTAAATATACTGATGTATAATTTACGAATTTATAAAAAATTTACAATTTTTAATTAAAAACCTGTGTTTTCTATCAAAATTACTTCTTGCGTGAATTTTGGAACATCCGTTAGGTGTATTATCTTTTCATCCTATTTTGAATTTTAATATATATATATTCCAAAAGATTCGCAAATGTTTGGTTTGTCTTTAAACGTTTACAGTAAGGGTCAATCCTACAGAAAGAGAGAAAGAGAGTGGTTAGGAGGGAGAGAGGGAGGGGGGAGGGAGAGAGAGAAGGTACGATAAATACAAAATTTACATGTTCTAAGTTATGAAATTTATTTATTCATTTATTTATTTTTATTAATTACATTCTTAAAACTCTAGGAGGTATAGAATTTTAATATGAATTTAATAACATAAAAATTATAGCAAGCTGCAAATTTCTAGCCTGAAACACTTGTTTATCTCGAGTTATGATAGTTTCCGGTTTCTTGAAATTTTTTTAATTAACAGAAGTGTAATCTACAATGTATATGATGTTTGTTCAGGCTGCAATAAATTCGAAAATAATATTAATACTGCTAAAAGGAAACAAATACTTCGTTAAATATATTTTTAATATAGAATTACAGAACTAATAAAAATTACAGTAATTTTTACGTTTTTTGTTTGCAATTACTAAAAATATATAGCTATTTCTGAAAAACATTAATATTAATTTGTATTGAGATAAAAACATAATTAGATGTACCTATTTATTTTCATCGTACCATTCTAATTATTATCATCATTTACATATAGATCACCTATTTTCCAAATCGATTAGCTATACAAAATAGGAACCAACAATTCTTTTTTTAAATATAAGAAACTAAGTACCCAATTAAATGCTTTAATTCTAAAATTTCAAAAGATAAATATGAATGTAGTTAATCACTTTGGTCCCTGAATAAATGACATTATATTTATGTACATGTTACAAGTCGATAATTTTAGTGTTAAATAATATAGAGGAAGAATTATGACTCGTAATTACAAGATTCTTCAAGAAAAATATCAAGATATTTCAAGATATGTATTGTTTGAATAATGTATTACATATATCTGATACATAGATCTATGTATGTAAATTATCTGAGAAATTTTCAAAATAATTAAATAAAAGATAAATTAATTAACGTCGATAATTAACAAAATAAAGAAATATCTATATCTTTAATATGCAATATAATCTTTTCTCTCTTTCATAAATGTGTTACATCGGAGTCTTTGTAAAACTATGGAAGAAATTCCCATAATTGTATTCGAACACTTGATCACTCTTATCTGAATCCTTTCAAAGGAATTTCACTTCAAAAGGAATACTTAATATCGTTTCAGCTCAATTTATGTAATTTTATTATATAATAATTATATAATTTTGTTCATGAGCACCAAAATAAGAAGAATGCTATCAATATTAAATGAAAAGTTAAAAATCATTAAATGTATAAAAGAATAAGAAATGTATATATGGTAAAAGTAAGTTTTTTCTTTTAATTTATGATTATTGAATATTTACTTTATAATCATTTATAACTGTAGATAATGAATCGAAATTATTAAAATTTCGAAATAAGTTCAATAAATATATATTTAAGAAATACATATTTATAGAAATAAATTTTTATTTTAAATTTTTATTTTTTATCAAAAATCTAATTATATTTGAAAATTATTAATTTATTTTCTATATTTCGTTTTTATCATGTACTCTTTCATGTAGACATTTTCCAAAATTCTTTCGTTTCTTATTATTCATTTTATTTATCAATTATTATCGTTATTATTATTACTTTACGCAACTCTGTAAATATTCACTTAACTTTGTAAACTTAATGATCCCATAAAATTAATATACTTTGAACTCACTTGAACACTTTTATCGATGAAAAATGAACGTAAATACGCCATAACTACGGAACCAATGTACCAGGCAGAAGATAACTGAAACGAAATAGTTGATGAACTTGTTAGAACACAAATTTTATATTTATTATTATTTAATTATATATATATATATATATAAGTAAAATAGATATAAATTTTATACTGTATCAAATTTTTAAATATTTAGTTGATAAATATTATTTCATGGTTTTATCCATAATTCATATGAAGGATAAGGAAAAGGAATAGGAAAACAAACTTAGTGATTTTAGATATACATTTTGGTAATAACAATTATACCTACAGCAATTAGGTTTGACACTCTCTTTTTTGATCTATTAAAAAGAGTAGAAAATTCAAGCCGTGAACGATATAGTTAAATTTGTTGAATCTTGTTTCTTTATTAATAGACTCAGAAATATTAGAAACTGATTTTGTTTATAAAACTTGTAATATTCTTTGTTTTTCCCCTTTACTCTTTATATATAATTTCATTAAGTTCCGATAAATTATTAATTATATAATATATAGGGTGTCCCAGTAACAGTAGTACAATCGGGAAGAGGGTGATTCTACATGAAGAAACAAATCGAAAATAAATAATTTTACGAAGTTTCGTTATCGAGAAAATCCACTTTGAATGTCCATCGAGTACATGTGCATTTAACTATTACTTAGATGAATAGACTATCAATACACGAGTATAGCTGGTACAATCGAGGGGGCGCTGATTCTACGTAAAAAAACAAATTGAAAATAAAGAATCAAATTTTTTCATTCGAAGTTTCGTTATCGAGAAAATCGACTTTGAATATCCACCAAGTACGCTGATATACTGATGGTCCATCTGCCTTAGCAAAAGTAAGTGCACGCGTACTTGGTGAATATTCAGCGTCTATTTTCTCCATAACGAAGCTTCGAATGAAAAAATTTTATTCTTTATTTTCGTTTTGTTTCTTCACGTAGAATCACTCCCTTCTCGATTGTATCGCCTATTACTATTACTGGAACACCCTGTATACGAATTTTATGTAAATACCTAAATTATAATATAATAATATGTAAACTATTAAATAAATTTATACAAACACATAAACTAGGCTCTTTTCCAAAAGTATTAGTATTTGAACTCTTTTTAAATTTAATATTCTACTTTTTGTGCTGGCTGATAACGAATATATCGAAAATTTTTCATAGAATATCATTAATAACACGCGAACTACAAGATACACATATAACCAGATATAATGATGATACACACGAATACAAGTAATGAAAAAGATACCTGAACTCATTCGGAGCAACTTTCCTTTACATTTTTCATAAATCGTGCCCATCAGGGGCGGATCTAGGACCCTCTTTTCACGAGGAGAAATGAATATATTCATTTTTTGATTTTTTTCAGTAACCTTAAAATTTGCTTATAATTTATATTGAAAAAAAATCAAAATAATTACAATACATTATATAATTAAATAAAATATACAGCATAATATTTTGGAAAATTATTCTGAATCCACTACTGATGCCAATAAAGGCCTAACACCAATGTTTTCAAATTTTAGTAGAGAAACCTAATTTTCATTTCTAAAATATTTGTCTTTTATTTTTAGAAAGCATTATAGATATTTCATATCTATTTGTTAGTTTTATTAAGAATACTGATAATATTGAATGCCTGCAAGATATCTGAAACATCTTGTTTCAATCAAAATAAAATGGCTAATTTTTGCCTCTAAACAGAAGCAGGTTATTGTTGGATAATGACTAACTGAGGTGAAATAGAGAACCTTGTATTATACGTAGTGTTATCTTCCATTGGGGTAACTGGAACTTGATAAGGAGCTCTTTCACCCCATGGCTTCTCAACTGGAACTGTATTCCCTACAGGCTGATAACTCAACTGCATAATAGTTTCCGCTTCCATAGGGATATCTGGTGGACGGCATAAGTGTACAGGTGCATAGTTATGAATTGGTGTCAGCGACTTATCATTCTCTAAATAGGAGAGTTTGTATGTGGTACAACCTGCAATCAAAAATAAATATTTTTTTTTTTTTTTTTTTATTTATTCAAATCGTACGTTTATAAGGTCATTAGCATATGTCACAGAACGAAATATAAGGTGATTAAATAAAAAAAATAAGGGCTAGATTATTTCTATATTTGTGGATAGAGGAAAAGGATACAATGCAATTAGAAAAGGAGTAATTTCGTATAAAAAGAGAAATCAATATTATGCAATAAAACTTTAATTTCATACGAAAAAAATAAATTGATAATATACATTTATAACAAATACTCATCTAAGTATATAGTAATTTTTAACTTATTATTAATGGTAAAAAATACATCTCATGAAATGACATTATTTTATAATATTATTTTGGATATATATTCTTCCTCATTTATTATCAACATTAATTCCTTTATTCAAGCCCCAAACTTTTCAACTAACAATAAGTCTTTATTATTCTTAAATCGCAAATATTCATTCTTGCTTATTATATATTAGAATATCTTTATTTTTGATAACAGATAGTTGAAATTTGGCCAGTATTATAGAAATTTGTTATCCCCTTCCTTTCTTCTTTTCTTGTTTCTTAATAATAGTAACATTTTGATCAATTATCAGTTTTAGATGCGATGAATCAAATTTGAAGAAGAAAAAAGCAAAGGTTATTTTGTAATATCATTGCACATAACGAAAGAATAATAAAAAATTAGATGGTTCAAATTATAACTGGAAAAATATTAGACTTGCATTATGCGATACTAAATCGAGAAGAGAAAAAAAAACGTTTTCAAAAAGTAAAATAACTTTTGAGGTTAGGTAAAAGGAACTTGTCTGATGCAGCAGAACTAACTGCGACATCTGTTGGTCGTTTAAGTTGAGATGAATCGAAAGCCATGAATAATAAAATTGTATTGAGTTTCGAAACAGATCAAGTTTTTAAACTTGGAATTTCGTTAACCTTATATGTATACAAAAAAATAATTTATATTGTACATTTACTTCTATACCAAATAACTCTGCCAATAACAATTTTTTCATATCCTTAACTGCCTACGTAATGTCCCTGTATGTCTAGTTAAGAGAAACATACTGTATGTAAATCAATCGTGGTACCCTCCAAGTAAAGGCTGTCGCCCACATAACATATCAAACCAGCAACGTATAGTTGTCCACGCACCAAAGCCGTTTACTATGGATTGACATGGATACAATACCAATATTACATTAGTAATATATATGTTAGCACACGAATTTTATAAAAAAGAGGATGTCATAATTTATTATTGTAAAAACGGTTATGAGTCATAGATTTTTTGTCATCACTGAATGAAATTGAAATAATGAAAGAAAAAGAGAAACTACTATAATACATAAGAATTCACAACTAAGAAAAAATAAAGGCGAATTTCATACATTATATAATAAACAAAATAAATTAATTTTATAATGAAGAAACACTAAATTGATATCATGGTAAATATAGATAATCGTTATAAATAATAATAATAATGTTCATATTAATACATAATAATATAAGTTAATGAATAGTAATATGAATATATAAGTGAATAATTAATGGACATTAATATTATAAATATTAATGAATATAATAAATAAATAAATAATATCAATTCTAATTTATATTCGCGAGAAATTCTATTAATGCTTTGTTATTCACTATACAGAAAACTATAATACAGTGTCACTAGCGAATAATCATTTTGTTCCCACCATATGTAGGAACAACTAGCCAACATGTAATTACTGACTAGTCAACAAAACAGTCATACCAAGAATCTTGTGGTTGTATAGGTGATGCAAAAACCATATATACTATAACTCGTTTTAAAATGTTATAACATTTTCTGTATTTTTTTAAATGGATTTACTCATCTTAATACATAGTGCAAATTTGACACTGTACCAAATCAAATATTCAAAAATTTATAGTTATGAATTTTTTAACGATTATTTATATATACTGCAATTTATCGTTATTATGTATTAGAATATACAATGAATTAATGTTACGTACATTCAATGGGTGAAGTGGCAGGAACAAGGTTGTCTGCGCGACGATGATCTGGTTCTAGTGGTATGCTCTTCCATGTATAGTCATGTTTTTGTGTGGTCACCTCTTGTATGGGACCTCTCCCCAACAACTGCTTATTACAAGGTATAATTGAAGGTTGTTGTTCGACACACCAGTTGCCTAAGAAACTCATCTGAAATATATATGAATTTTATGTACATGTATTATATAAATATTAATATATCAATATAAATGCTATAAATGAATTAGCAAAGAAAATTTTGTAACGTATAATGCTAAAATCGACAAAATTAGAAATACATTTACTTGCTATGTAATAACAATGTAATTATTTCAGCTATAGTAAAATCTTCAGTATGGTCATTCAGAAAAGAAAATTTTCAAATAAAAGAACTTATTTGTTTTCATAGTAATTATTTTATAATTGGGTAAGAATAATATCATTTGCAAGAACAAAGAATAACGTGTAATACAAATGTAATATTATTTTAATTATTTATTTTTCTTCATTACTATTACTATTGTAAGATTCGTATTGTACTTCTATTTACTAAATCGTGTTGAGTTTTTAACATAATACATCATTGTTATCAACGATCTATTTATTTTTCAAATTATTTAAGCACTATTCTTTTGATATCATAATTATTTTAAAATGGAAATGTCTTTGATGTTGTACATTCTGTAAACTTTTAAAATTTTTATTATTTCTCCGAGAAATACTATTCCCGTTTCATTTTGAAAGGTAGTAAGTACGTATTATGCATTTTCCCTTTAATGCTGTTACACACGAGGCGTTCGGGCGCATAATGCCCATTTCACACTGGAGTAACGAAGAAAATATACTGTTCGAGTAACGATATATTCGAATAGTGAATTCTTTAGACAATGGAACATTTGAGTAATTTAAACATTATAATATTGGAATATTTGTCTAGTAGAAATTTTGGACATTGCAGTATTCAAATAGTAGAAATTTTAGATATTGTAATATTCGATTAGTGGAGTGGTTGGATAATGAAATTTGCGAATTATAGAACATTTAGACATTGAGATATTCGATTATAGGAATATTTAGTTAATGAAATATTCAAATTATAAAATATTTGAATAACAAAATATTCGAATAGTAGTATAAGAATATTTGGATATTAAAATATTTTATTAATGGAACTGTTGGTAATAGAATATTTAAATTGTAAGTCGTTTGAATAACGGAATCTTTGGATTTTGAAACACGAATATTCAGTTAGTAAAAATTTTAGATAATGGAATAAAAATTAAAAATTTTGCATTAATGAAGCTTTTAGGTAGTGAAGCATGTAGATTGCAGAATATTTAGATACTGAAATATACGATTAGTAGAACTTTTAATTATTAACAATTTTAGATGTTGGAATATTCTAATTATAACTTAAATAGTGGAAAATTAGAATATCATAAAGTTCACATAAGATCTTCGCGAAATGGAAACTCTAACATTTTAATTGCAATAAATATGTTATAAAATCTGCCTTCTATCAAGAGTGTCATCATAATTTCAGTTATGCATACAGTCATTATTGAGCCCGCATAAATAAAATAATGTTGTATAACGTTAACAGCATTTTGCAAATATTTCGTAAACTGAACAAACTATTCCTTATATACAAAGGAAAAATTATTCCAAATTTTCATTTCTACAGCATACTAAAAAATCATAAAAATTGAAGGGTAAATGATTCGCCGACAAGTTGATCATAAATTGTTTAGATATGACACCTCTAAATTCTGCGACACGAAGAAGGAAGTATGATAGAATTCTGATAATCTAGCATTCAATCATTCGATACACTCGATACACTCGAGTTTGACAAATGTACGTCATTAAAACGATGACAATACCCAACGAATGTCACTCGACAACATCAGTGATCAGTCAGCACATTCGAGACCGATGACCCAGCTTATGAATCACGTAATACTTTACCTGGGTAGTGAATGACTCCGCATGTGGGTGTGTATTCATGAAAAGTCCCGTAGGACAGTTGAGGTGTAAAAGGAGTGCTCACTTCATTCCGTTTGACTCCTCTCAAGCTCATAAAATTTCTAATTTTAGATCCTTGCTGACATATGCCAACAGACAAAAATTAAAAATCAAAATAATAATTTATGAATTTTTGTATATTCTTTATTTTCTGAGGCATATATATTAACCCTTCGAGTATTTCATTTAATTTTGATACTCTACATCTGTCTGCTTAACTACTTTTTATGCGACGGGGAGTATACACGACGAAAACAGAGTAAGTGCACTATGCTGTAAAATTGAAAGGAATTCTAAAAAGGTAAAAAGGATAGCTAGTTAATTTTTTGAAAAATTTATATTTTTCAATTCGTAAAGGAAACGATATTTGAAATCAAATATACAGTTATATTAAACGATCGAGTATTATTATTCAGAAACGTGTCAAAATTTTAAAAATGTTTCGATTTTACATACATTGTACTTCAAATAGCGAAAGTAAATTATTTTTTCTCCATGACGACCTTTTCATCGCGAATATCCTCGACATACACATCGAAAGATTTAAAATTAAAAATAGCATGAAGGGATGCCAAGTTCTTTTTTTGAATATTTTCCATAAAGTCTATTTTGAATCTTTATCTACATATTTTAGAAAATAAAGAATTTACAAAAATTCGTAAATCATTGCTTTGTTTCTTAACTTTCATCAGTAAATGTATATACATAGACATGGTAGCAGAATAAGTTGTAACTTGTAAGTCAATATTCGTTTTATGTTATACTAATTCTGTGTCTACGTCATTGTTTTGTATCGCAAGTTATAATTCTATTTTGCTTGATCTCTATGTGTTCTATTCGTTTTCTTCATCACGTGACGCTATATGATCTAATTTGTTCCCAGATAATAATGAAAATTCGTGTACATTATAACAATTATTATCGTTAATTATCCTTCTTAATCGATCCACTATTCAAATCTCTAAATTCTACATGTTTGTATTACTGTTAGAAGTTCCAAAATCAAAATATCATTTAACGTTTCTTATTATCCAGGATTGATTTAGTTTGACGTTTGTCAAACTGATTAGTCGAATTTAGAATGAGCTTCTGTTAAATCTGATCTTTATAATTTCCGATGTGCCGATCTGCCAGGAAAAAATTTGATTCGTTGTTAATTTGTTTGTTCTAACGATCCAATCGCGATATTTTTCCTAGTAATGTTATGACGTAGAGACCTGACCACTGTTAGACCTAGCTTGAGACAGGGGTATGGTAATAGATGACACTGCATATCCACCAATTTTTAATAATAATCAGACTTTGCTGTTAATATTCCTTTTTTTCTCATCATGTACATACATCAACAATAACGATTGAAAATTTTATGAACTAACTTGCTGTCTCAAGATTTTAATCTTGGATCCTATGCAAGCTACGATGAAGACTCCACCAAGGTATCTCAGTTTGGCCAGAATTCTTCCAATCTTCCATAATCCCATTTCTGTAGAAGAAGTTGTATAATGGGGTAAATATTGTTATCTAATTTAGTGTAATTGTTGACACTGCATTCCTGTACAGTATTTGAATTTAGCTAATTTAAGGTTGATATGGTTATCTAATTTTGTGTAATTCTTGATATTGCATTCCTGTGTAGTATTTAAATTTAGCTAAACTGTCACTTAAAGTTGTATAATCCTGCTCTGAATATTCAACTTTACAGGAATTTTCAAGTTCAACTGTACAATCGACAGAGTAACAAGGTTATAGAATGACAAAAAAATAGACTAAAGTCGTATAGAATTCAATTAAATATCAAGATTCAAGTTGTCAAAACTCTAAAAATCTTAACATTTTCAATTGGAGACATACTTTCGAAATCCTGTCTCGATCTCGAAAAAAATTCCCGATATTTTCGAGACCACGTATAGCTCTAAAAAATACCAACAAATCAAAATAAAGAAATATTAAATGATAGTGCTTGAGAATTTAAAAATTCTCATTGCGTGCCACTATTAATAGTGATTTCTCCAATTTTCGAATTATATTAGAACAAATCCATATTCCAGGAGTACAACTTTTGTTTTAGCGTCAAACAGAGGATACCAATGCTTTCACAATTTCAATATATCCGTGTCATCACCTAAAACGCGAATATAGTTTGACTCTGTATAATTCTGTCTTCTCTTTCGACAATATATTTCCAAGTCACAGTTATGCAAAATGTAATGCATAATAGCCTGAAAGTTGTTTTGATTATTCGATTCTCTTCCTCGTTTTTTCGGCCAAGACAGGTTTAACAACATTCCATATACCGGATGCAACTCGATGCTCTATTGTTCTATTGAAACTCTTCATACATCCTTCCTTCTATAACATTTGTGCACAACCACTTGAACAGTTCAGAGAGGATGAGGTCAGGGCCAACTGCTTTTCTGATGTTGATCTTCTTGGCATCTCGGAACTCCTGAATTTTTATTTGTTCCTGTGGAAGTACATCATTGCTTTGCCTGTCCCTATAAGACTATCTTCTTCCTCCACGTTCACAATGCGTAGGTAGACTACAATATATACCAGATCATCGTCACCAATATTTTCACACTTATTAGACGTCAATGCTTCAGATCTAACCAGTTGAAGTCTTTCGGAACAATAAAAATCGATTTTGCATCCCAAAAGTCGATTATAAGACCTAAATTGATTAGACACCTTTTACTTCTCTCACTGTCAGTGAGTATTATAAGTTCTTCGTGTCTTCGGCTCTACTTTTTAAGCACACTTTATATTAGAAATGAAGCTCGTGTCATGCCGATTGTATAGGCTTTTTATCAATATTACGACTTCGCAAAGAAAACAAATGTCAACATCGAATATCTTGAAACACAATTTTTACAAGTGGGCCCTTTTCTCAATTAAGGAAAGAGTTTCTCAACTGCAAGAACTAAACAGAGGAAATAAATATTCGAAGACCTGAAATTTGCAAAATTTCTCTTGCTTCGTTTTGCCATTGTTTGCATGAATTTCATCAATAGAAGTTTACATATCACGTAACAAGCGACAAATATCTAATCTGGTGAACAAATAATATTAATATAATAATAAAACTAACGTTACGTGGAATGTGTTACACAGGGTATCTCAGGAACGGCAGTACACCGGGGAAGGGCGTAATTTCACATAAATAAACAAATCGAAAATAAAAATAAAAATTTTTCCATTCGAAGCTTCGTTGTCGAGAAAATCGACTTTGAATATCCATCAAATACGCTGATATACTGATAACCATCCGCCATATTGTTAGCCAATGTTAAGTGCACGCGTACTCAGTGAATATTCAAAGTCGATTTTCTACATAACGAAGCTTCGGATGAAAAAGTTTTATTCTTTATTTTCGATTTGCTCTTCCATGTAGAATCACCTCCTCGATTGTACTATCGTTGCTGGGACACCTTGTATAACCGTAAAGGGCTCAAAATAAAGATCACCAATCCTGATAACTTTTTAATTTGTCGATAATAGCTTTATAAAGCTATTAGACTTATAAATCTTATTCGAACATCCCTTTTTAATGTAAAATGAAAGTGTGCTCACATACATCAGAGGCGATAATGTATGCAGCAATTCCAATGTGGTTTTCCCATCTATATATTTTTATATAGCTTTCTCTTTAGCACAAAATGGCAAGAACAAGCTTTGGTGGGTTAAAATACTGAATCTATATTTTTAAATTAAATTTTAATAAACTTGTTGCGATGGTAACATCGGAGGTTAGATGTGCCTTATCGTCCTTCCAGCCTATTAAGCGGATTATTTAAAAACAAAAGCACAGAACACGTACAACCACCAGACCCAACAGATTGGATCCTAGTGCGACTGACCCACTGAAGCGACAAACAGACGTTTGCTGATAAATCACGACATTGACTACCAAAACAATACGAAAGTGTCAAGTTTCTTAACAGCTTCCTACTCCTGAAATCTGAACTTTTCCAGACACACACATGTCCAGTCGAAAAACACTATTTTTCCTCCATCAACATCCACCCTCAATCAATCATGAAAAACCCGGGGTGGCACTGAACAGAACTCGACGAGACATCATAGAACACAATCAGAACTCGAAGAGAACGCATTCAGAAATCAGACAGAACGCATATAAAACGCAACACAACTCAGCATAACGCATTTACATCGCACTAATAACCACAAACAACTATATCATGTAATAAAGTGTACATAAGGAAGAAAGTGTCCTTTATTGCATATCCAAGGTGTTCGATATCTCAAATTGGTAGTGTATACTGAGAGAAGGCAGATAACCCACATCAACTTCGCTACCTTCGTATACAGGACTTGCATCAGTATTCGGTTAGAACTTATTAGAATCCTTGCAAAATATACTTAAATATTTTAATATTAATATGAAAATGAAAAATTGACATTGATTGTAAGATAAGAATAAACTTTAAAGTTCATATGATGAATTTTGTATATTTAAACTTATACCATAACTAGAGATTATGGCTCTTTATAACAAGATATAAATGAATATTCGCATTCCACCTCTTACTTACCCGATGAATAGTATCATAATCCAAAGGACAAGGTGAGAAATAAATGTTATCAGGTTGTCGAATCGGGCTTCGCTTGTCTCCTCCGCAGCCAAAATAACTGAGACGGTAAGTCGTGTTATCGTCAGTGCAACAACCAGCATTTAGAACATTGTCATTTTCCTCAGTTACTATTGGTGAACGTTTTTTCTCCGAATGTGGCCAATAACTTAATTTGTAAGTTGTACAACCGTCCATTGGCTCGACAGGAGGCACGTATTCCCTTTTACCCCACGGTGGATCTTCCTAAGTAGCAATATAACGAACTAAAATATTAATTATTAAATACTAATTAATATTTTAAATTAATGTTTAAAATTACCAAACACATTTGCACACATTTGTTATCCAAAAATGATAAACTAAAATCAACCCTTTGTTCTTTCAAAATATTTTTATTCGATTATTTTATTTGTGTATTAGCCTCACTATACTTTAGAATAAAAATATTTGTCTATTAACAACTTAGTGTGGTAGTACAAAGTACAGTGTTTGAAATAATGCTTACTTTCTGCGGAGCATCAATTGGCCAATAACTAAGATTGTACGTTGTATAGTCTTCCATTGGTATATCTGGTTTGACGTAGTTTCTTATAGGAGCATAAGATGTTGTAGGTAGGTGGCAACCAGACTCATAGTAGCTTAAGTTATACGTTGTATCACCTAAAAGACGTTGAAACTTTAATCAACGTACAATTACATATAGTTTATCTGAAATAATGAGTGTCCCAAAATTCACAGAAGAAGTAATTTTGATAGGAAACACAAGTTTTTAATTAGAAATTGTAAACTTTTTATTGATTCATAAAGTATACATCAGTATACTTAGTATCCTAGTATCTCTTTTTTTCGTTGACAACACTTTACCGCACAAATGGCGCAAAATTCAAATTTTGTGTGAATTTTGGAATACCCTATAGTTAAAAGTAAATTAAAATCATAAAATAAAATCTTTCGAAATACAATTTGCATAAATATCAATTTTGAAAATTCATTCAGAACCATCTGGACCCATGGATAAGCATTCTTCTCGGCTATCACTTCCCACTGAACAGTACATGAAACATATTCTAGTGTTTCGTGTACTCACCGGCGAGCGCCGCAGGTTCGCAATATATATTATCCTCTGCTTTGTAAGGTTCTACTTGTGGTACACTTTTCCATGTGTAGTCGTGTTTCTGAGTCGTAACGTCTTGCATAGGACCTCTACCGAGCCATTGTTTCTCACAGGGAATACAAGGTGGATCGGGTTTTGCACATAAATAATTAAAGTAACTAGACTGAAATAATGAAAAACACATTTCCCTCTTTAACATAACGATTTTCATTGACATTAATTCGAGATTCATTCGTTACATTAGTTTGTTCGCGTTTTCTTGATTCATTCGTGAAATCGATCGAAGTTTTTGATACGTTAAATTTGTTTGTAAACCTTAAAAAAATATTTCTTAATATACTTATTTATAGTATAGTCTTATTTATAGTGAATATCCAAATTACTTTTACTGGTATTGAAAGTATCAGTCTCATGACATGGAGATCTGTTTCTAAGCGGTACTAGCGCCACCAGTCCGGGTGGTTCCCCTTCCATTACTCCTAACCCAACCAATCACATAAAATCTAAGTCAAAGTATAATATCAAACTTGGTAAACATGCATTCAACCCTTAAGATGACTATAATGAAATTATATCAACATGTGGCTAATAATAATTCCAAACTCTTTGAAGAAAATGAACCTAACCTATACCGAAAAAGAAATTTCAAAAGTTCCGTAGACTAATTCCTAGATGCAAGAAGATTTAGAAATTGTTCGTCATGGTGTGCAATATAAAACAACAAATTTCTTCTTTTATAAGAAATATGGCATATATCATATTTATATTTGTAATAAATTAAATTCTATAATGAAAACTTGTATCTTTTAAATAAGCTATTGGTTTGCCTTTCTTATACAGAATAATTAATAATAAAATCGATTACCAATTTTTACTTCCTAAAATTTCTAACTTTTCTTTCCACTTACAAAACTTATCAAAAATTTTATATTTCATTATAATAAATTATTACAAACAAAATAGTCGATTTTTAATTTTTGATGTATACTTTCATTTTACAACATTATTATATATTATTAATCGTAATTGCCTCTGTCGACAAGAATGCACATCTGCGAACAAACATATTAATACTTTCTTATAAAAAGTTAACAATATGAAATGCAATAAATTCATTGAACTTTTTATGTTACTCTCCTTGATACACTCTTCCAGACAAAAGCCAAAAATCCAACAGAGGCAGAAAATTTGAATTGTGGAAAACGACCATTTCACTTGCAACAACCTAATATTTATAAATTAAATTTTATGTACTCTAATCTTATAAATCTTTAATTGTCACAAATAAATTTGCTTCCAGATCTAAAGTATTTTTTCATGAGTTGATTCGTATATTAAAAAAATCATTACACAAGAATTAACAAAATAAGAATGTACAATATACTATGTTTGTTCGACCACCCATATGAGACCAAAGTATTTATGTTTACATAGTCACGATGCTCTCAACTCATTAAGTACATACAATTAAGTACAAATGAACAATGTTTTACATTATCATGTTTACCCACCGTGTCTAAGTACACTTTCTTTCTCTGCAAAATCTCGGCAAGCTATGGGTTTTGAAAGCAAGCCTGTCGCTACGCTCGAATTAGTGAATAATTATCACTATATTCTGCTCACAGCTGTGTTCTACTTTCCAGCAAATAGTTACGAAGTGTTGACAATTAAGATATATTACACCTGAAAAGGCACCATTGACTAAAATATAAAAGTCAAATTTCATTTTAACACGTCAAAAAGTTGATTCTCGAATCTTTTTTACCGATATACGTTAATATCACGATCCTACAAAACATTCAAAGGAATTACTGAACAGTGAAAAATAGAGAGCAGTACAAAAAGAAGTTAAAAATATTTAATAGTAGAACACAAAATATTAGATAGAACATAAGAACATAAGATATTAAATATAAACATAAGATATTAAATCATAGTAGAAATAGTTTGTAATTATATTAATAATATATGTAACTTGCGGCATAAAACTATATAACAGGTAACACCAACTGGAAGAAACTAATTTTAAATGAAATAATAAGTTAAAGATATAAAATAAGATAATTTCAGTATAGGGTCTTTTTGTGACAAATTTTAGTCTAAGTATACTACACAGTATGAGAAAATATACACGTTATGTGTATATATAGATGTGTGCATGTACATAGTACGGAACATATGCAATTAATTGGAATAAATCTAACAATTTTTTAAGTAAATATTATTTCATTTGTGGAAGAAATATATTTTGACTTATGGCCTTATTTTTGACATCTTACTTTGTACGTTGTTTCGTCAGATATTTCACCTTCACCAGTAACTAACCAATTTTCTGGTCGAACAGGGTCTGTAGAAACACTGGGACATTCCCAATAGGACAGTCGGTATGTAGTATTATCATCCATTGGTATAAGTGATTTCCAATAATGCTGCAATAACATTAAATCATATTATAACACAATGTCACCATAAACAATAATTTGAAATATTTAAAAAGTAAATGAGGTAACAGCACTGAATTCTGACAAATTTTAATATAATAACAAAATTTTTTTAATTGTCCAGTATGAAACATGAGAATTAAAAGAGTAGAATGAATGTCAATAACATATTCTGCATTACCGACGGTATTAAGTAAACTACGGTTATTCATAGATTAAAAAGTTCATGCAATAAGTGAAAATAGATGTTTTTCAATACAGAGCATTTACTAAAATTGATACCTAGTTGGTAATACTTAAGTCAATCAATTTTAGACGTAAAAATTGATTAATAAGAGTTATAAAAAGCAATGCAAATAAGTGGATTTTATGTTTAGGTGAATTCTTTGAAATAGTTTTAAATTTAATTCATATGATTGTCAGAATGTACTAAAATTTTGTAAGTAGTTTTTGGAAATTTATGCATCTCACAAGTAAAAAATATTAAATGTATAGAATAATTCGAATATCAAATAACAACTCAATGTACACCAAACTGTAGAACAATAATAAAAAAATTTATAATGCAGCATTACAAGCAATCTTACGACTAATAACGTGTAAATAGAAACGATACTTTGATTAAAACTTCTTTTGTACTTACATGAATTGGAGCATAAGACTTCGGTATTTCTGGTTGTATATATCTCTGTAAATGAACGAATTCTTAAAAGATATTTAATATGATCAAGCACAAAAATTGCGATAGTATAGTACTTACATAACATATACGTTGCTTAGTACAGCAGCAGCAGTTACAGCATTCATCGTGATTTATCTAAAAAATAGTTCTTTATATTACCATCCGTTAATCACAGAATATTACCTTCTTTGCAATTGACATATGCAGTATAATCCTTAACACAAGCTATTGCCCTGGCTCTTCACTTAAAAGGACCATCACTTATCGTTAAATACTTCTGCATATCGTAAAAATTAAATGAATGTAATTGCAATAACTGAAACAACCAAATTTTTAACATACTTTTACTACTACGTACGTCGAAGAAATTCTTTAAAATTAAAATTACTATACTGTTTTAAATAATTTCTTATTAAAGATTCCATTGAAAATATGAAGGTATTGCTATAGAAAATTGAAAATTACTATAAAAATTATACTAATCGAAACCTAATTATATATTTATAAAGTCTAGATTAAAGTTAAGGTTGACAAAAATTAAAGACTAAAGCAATCATTTTGCTAGATGGACATGCTCTCGAGATTTCAAGATGACCTTGGTTCTTTTTAATAGAACTCTTTTTTATGTATGTGAATAGTGCATTTCAGGGTAAGTTCATTCCCCTATAATACTTTGGTCTTTGAAGATCTTAGATTACTTTAGTATAAGTAAAGATACTTACATATTTCGAATCCATTTTTCAAATGTATCTTATATGATAATCGAAAATATTCAGAAGAATAGTATTATAAATTTCTAAAATCACTTTATCTAATGAAATCTAATTGATGCGCAGTGTTATCATTTTTACACTGCTTTACCGACAAGGGTGCAACTCCAAATGTAATACTTTTTATCATTAGAGATAGTACAAACTTTAGAGACGAAATATATGAAACATCATTTTGAAAGAAAGATAGACTATTACTTTGCATAGATATAAATATCTATCTAAAATTTCGAGGAACAAAACATTTTTCTATATTCTCTGTTCTTTTACGATCTAATACTTATGGATTTTTATTTTTTCAAATTTATAGAACAATTTTCTAGTGATCATATTATCATCTTGTAACGAAAAAATTGTAAAAGTAGCATTCAAGGAATGGTTTAATTTTGAAACTATTAGTTTTTATTATATAAATCTAAAGTAATTTTTGTTGAATTTAGTTAATTTTTGTAAAACTTGTACAGAAACATATAACAAATATTTTGTTGTATTATATGATATTTATCTCGTTTTATCTAGGATAAAGCTGCTTTTTCCCCTATCACCTTATTACTCCCACTACATTTGTTTGACTCTTGGAGTGGACTACGGCAAACACAGAAACTATATGGGAACACAGCCTTAGGTAGGGAAACTATTAGACCAGTGATGGGAGTAATACAGCGACAACCAGTAATAAGTTCAACATTTCTGGTTTTATATGTAAAATTTCATACAAAATGGAATATAATTGAAAGAAAAAGATTAATCCATCCTCCCTAGATTTGAACCCGGGTCCTAAACACGTAGGAATATTAGTCCGTTGTCACTGCACTAGAACTTTACATGGAAATAGTTCTAAACAAAACTGAATTAAACCAATGGTCATCTTCAATTGCAAATATCTTAAAAATTATTGAGTAGTGGCACCTATAATCATATACCTTCACCATCGGGGGAACTAAATCTAGCATCCTACTAAATTTGAACGAAATCGGTGACCCCGAAAGCCTTGCAGTCTTCTTGTAAGAGAATATTTTATAAAGACCATTCTAATGTTTCAAAATTATATTTTAAGTTACCTTAATTTTATTTTTCGCCTCAATAACCGATTGCTTTTGCTCATGCGGTTTGGCTATAGACCTACAACATATCGCGATGTTAAACTTAATCGTTCATAACGAATCGAATTACGATTTAATGTATAATTTAGGGTGAAATAACAGCTCACGGATCAACTGCACAGATCTGCATGATGACAACGATCGTTCATAATAAGGAGCAACTATGGAACAGTGTTATTTCATGACACTAAAGAAATAAAATATGTTTTGATTTAATCCAAAGGGTTTAAAAATATCAATGTCAACCAAGAAATAATGGACGATCATACCAGAAGTAGGTAGCTTTGCATAATGTTACGTTACATAAGGTTAATAACACAGTAGGCTACGAAATAATAGTTGTAGAAAATGTTATTTAATTTGTACAATATTTCTCATAAGATATTCTTCCTTTTACGTTAGTGTACTTTTACTTCAGAATTGCAGAATATCGAGTTACTCCTTACAGTGTGTTTACATGCATTGTACCGGCTTATGTGCTACTTATATACAGTTTTATACAGCTTTGCTGGGTAGAGACCAAGAGAGCTTGGTTATACAAATTTTAAATTTAAACTAAATTATCGAACAAATGGAAAATTAACGAACAATTATATGGGCAACTTTCATCGCTACCTATTGTCTTCCGGCGGGAGAAAGCCCTTCGTTGGAGTTCTAGGAAGACATCGCACAGGTCCAAGAATAACAGCCACAGATGGAGATGTTTAGACGCTGAGCTGGGGCACCTGGACCGGAGTTCAACCGAAGAGACTACCAACACGTGAAGACGAGGCCACGAAGAGGGGACACGCCCTATGTTTTTTTTTTTTACAATTTAACATAAGTTTAATATGCCAAAAACTAGATACAATAATATACATATGAAAGAACCAAAACGTACAAAAGAGTTACAAATGAATACTAAGACTATGAGATCGATGGCTCCAGCGTGAAGCACTCGCGATATAGAATCAAACTTACTCTACCGCGCTTATCGCTATAGGGTAATATAAACTTAAGAACTATCTTATATAGTATGCGGGTTTGCCTATGTATAGAAAAAGCACGAAAACTATACAGCTTTTGGGGACACGCCCTATAAGACTGCAGGGGGATGCGTTTTTGACACATTCGCCTACGAGTCAAGGAAGGAATAAAAAATTCACCTACCAAGCAAAACGACACTTAATTAAAATCTCCTACACTTTTATCTCTGTTGGAACCCGAATGAAGAAGGTTGTAGACCGATTAATTTCTTTAATATTCTTCAGAACGTTTCTATTTGCAATACGAATTCTACAGCAAGGCTATGTCGAAAAATACAATAATGTACTATATATCGGCGGGGAAGGAACTGGGCTTGTACAATGTTCGGAGGTGCTTATATATATTTTTAGTTTCTGGAGGGGTGAAGATGACGAATTGACCCTATGGTCAAAATAGGAATAAATAAGCTGTGTTGACCGACGTTGGCCTGTGTTGCGTGGCGATTGAATTTTCGAGAAATTGTTGTCGGGTTGTTAATCCGTCTCGCGATCTCGTTATGTTGCCCGCGAAATTAATATTGGACAGCTGTTTCAATTAACACGAGCAAAAGGAAGATCTCGGCTGGAGTCGAGCTCGGTTTTTATTTCTAATATTTCGTATGGCTCTAACCACTCTTTATCTAATTTGTACCTTTTGTGGTCATTATGTAATGATACTAAATCTCCTAAATTATATAAACTTTCGGGAATAATTTTCCTGACATATTTTTAAGAGTAAGCGACTCCCTTTGAATAACAAAACAGATTTATTTAAATTAAAATATTAGACTATGCTTCCCGCAACTCTAACTCTCAACCACACGATTCTCCACTCACTACGTCTCGACTACCCTTATTTAGAGACTATCACTCTCTTTTTTCATACACAAGCTCTCTTCTTTAATCACTCATTTCCCGCGCGACCTCGTCCTAGGTGGGCCAGTACTTCCTAGGTCCCTAGATTCCTCCTGTGGGCAACTTTCACCGCGGCCCATTGTCTTCCGGCGGGTGAAAGCTCTTCGTTGGAGTTCTAGGAAGGCCTCGCCGAGGCCCAAGGACAACAGCCACAGATGGGGATGCTAGACGCCAAGCTGGGGCGTCTGAACCAGAGCTCAGCGGAAGAGGCTACGAACACGCGAAGAGAAGGCGACGGAGAGGGGACACGCCCTATAAAACAGCGAGGGATGCGTTTTGGGGCACTATCCGACCAGCGTACGGAGAGAGTAAAAGAGTTACCCGGGCGCAAAGAGCCTAGTTTACTAAAATCCTGTTCCTACACTCGTAGGTCTTATTTTTTCCTAGGTGTTGGGCATGGTTATGGTTTCCTAGAATTATCTGTTTCTTTTCTTCAGTTGTCTATGTCCTTACAAGTGTCTATGAATAGTGCAGTTTCTTGTCGGGGTAATCTTTTAATAAAGATCTGAACATTAACTGAATCTCTGTTATGTGTAACGATTCGATGTCGTGTTCTATTCCAAATGCTATATATCATTTATCGTTTTATAATGACATTAAGTCATGTAGTCTATTTAGCCAAATTCTTTTATCGTAAGATTCTAAAATTTCTTTCGTCAGATGCGTTCAGTGTGGTCGAATAGCCATTAGACTGATTGGTGCAACAGTAGGTGTCGTTTTCCAGTTCAAATATTTATCATGCAGATCAATTTGAGGAGAGGACATGTCTTGGGTCTCGGGGAGTCCGTCTTCTGCTTCGGGAGGTGATGATGGTTTTATGATTTGGATCTTTGCTTTGAATGGAATGTCTTCGGTTATTCGTAAAGAGTGAAATCAAGATAAAGCGTCAGCTACTGCGTTTTCTTTCTGTTGGATGTCCGTTGACTCTTAATCACTAAAAGAAATATCGTTTGAAACCGATCCACAGCACACGTACAGGCGAGGTCAACGTGATAGTGTGAACAATTTTTGCAAATATCTCGGAAATTAAGGCCAAGCGGCAATTATTATTCAGATAAAAGGTCTTCAGAATCTCGTCCTCTGCAACATGTCCAAAAGTCATAGGGATCGTCTCATGCATTTGGCAGTTTTTAACAATTTTATGTTTTTTGTCAAAAAATTAGAAACTTTTTCAAGCTCCCCCGATCTATATTTCTTATTGAGGCACAAATAGAGCCTTTTGTGAAAAAACCATTTAGGGCAAAGTCACTAAACTGCATATTTACCTCCCTTCCTTGTAATTTATCTCATATTCATATTCTTCGAGTCAAACACCATCTCACGAGTCTTGATTATGGATCTTTTACATTGTGCAACCATTTTAACCCTCGCGATAAGGTAACGGGGTCTTCGGAGACCCTGCTATTTTTCAACTGTGACGGAACCGCGTATGTGAATGACGTAGCAAAAGAGTGGCAACGTCCTACTCTTATCGCTGTAATATTAACAACTGACTGCATGGATAGTTTCAACGTCTAGTTTTCAACGTCTTCAGCTAGCAGTATTTAGTGGGACAGCGAAAAGAATAGATCTGTCAAATATGTCTTCATTTTATGAATTATTTTATAAATTATAATAATATGAAGCATATTATCTTGGCTACTGAAGTTATAGGTGGAAAACTCAACAAACAAAAAGAATCATCACCGCATGAATCGCGAAAGAGGTCCAGGTGTTATATACATATGTATGGGTAACGACAACAAATATAATATGAAATGTGCCAAATGTTCTTGATTTATATGTAAAGAACATGTAATGAAACATGATAATGTTATATATACCCAGTGCACATAAATAACAAATATGTTTATAAAATTTTACATTTTTTAAACAAACTTCTCTTCTCCCCATATTATAAATATTATTAGATAATATTCGATAATGTAATCATGGAATATCGGTGTGGGGTCTTGAGAGACCCCGTTACCGTTCCGCGAGGAACCATGCTCCGAGGGTTAATGCTCGATGGTCGATAAGTATGTAAAATTACTTCCCGAGGATTACTAAACGACTGTGAGCAATTCCTTTTCGGTAGTGGTGTAATTTTTTTCCGCGTTATTAAGAGTTCTAGAAACGTAGCAGCATGGGTAGATCGTTTTGTGATAGTACGGCTATTATTCCTTCATTACTGGTATCGGTCGTCAGAGTAAATGGTTTGTTGGCACCGACAATCGCTTGATCCATTCATCGATGTCACGCATTAAATACAAAAGAACACAAGAATAATTACAACATAAATCGAAAATGTATAATAGATAATTAAATACAGTATATGCGAAAGAAACATTTATATAAAAGGCATATAACATGCTTTACTATTACCCTACTACAGTAGAAACGAACTGAAAATGAAACAAAAATGTGACACACGCTTGCCTCGTTTTATTCAGTCACCGAATGGTGGGGTAAACCGGAATTACTCCTCCCTCTCTCTTCAAGCGTCAACGCGCTGGAAAGAGCTGTATAAAACGAAATTGTGAAACCAAGCGTACTCGGTATACATGCTAACTTACAATTAGAATAATTCGGCCTTCTCACCCTTCCTACATTCATTCACTCGCAGTGTGAGTATAATGGTGAAACGAAATATTGAAACTAAATGTACCCAAAGAATAGCATCGTTCGTGTTTTACATTTTATTTCATGTCAATTCCTAATTAACCAACTCACATTATCACACCCTAAAAGATTTTACATAAAAAAAGACGCAACGCGATGGCATGAAATTTCACTTTTACTCCTAAACTGTATCCCGTGGGTCAAGGTAAATATATACATTTTTTATAGTCATGTACCCTCACATTCCTACAATTTTTTCTTTTTACCTTTTACAGCCATATAATCGACCCTTATTAATGACATGTAACCTCTTGAGGCGGAAAATCTCGTAATGAGGTAAAAGAATTGACAAAAATTAGCTGTAGTCATCTTGAATGTTCTTGGATTTCTCTGTTTTCCCTAGAACTGCCTAAATATGAACATTTGTATCTTAATAATTTGCGATAATGTTTATTTAAACCGAATCATTTTGTAAACATCATGCGCATGAACGGATAATAAAAACGACCTTTAGTCATATAATATATATTATTAGTAATACGACGCCAGCCTACACTTTCCACTTCGCCACCAGATGGATACTCGTTATAAACTCGTTTCTCGAAAATTCTCACTGAAATATCTTTTCCATGCAAATAGGTATTACTTCTGTTTTAATAACTGCTACTTTAATATTTAAAACAGACTTATCGATGATAATAAGTCCTCGTAGCAAATTGTATTAAAAATTTGAAAATTAAAAAATACAGAGTTATTTATCATGTACATATAACCTATATGATAAGGTTATTTGTCGTATAAATTTGTTTATCATTTTTGTTTAAAACACGTAGAATAGAATTAAAAATGTTTAAATACTTACAGAAGGGAAAGATGTAGTTAAAATTCAGCAAATATGCTATAATATTGAATTTTTTCTCAAAAAACACCTCATATAAGAAAATTTTATTTTTGTCTGTTTTACTCTGTAATATCGGTTACGGAATATCATATATAATATTATAAAATAGTTGTGACATTATAATAATTATTTTTGTGTATAAGATAATATTATTTGTATTATAAAAATAAAAAATTAAAAACCAAACAATACAATTAATAAGAACATCGATATATATTTAATATTATAAAACGATATTTTGGCAGATATTTCTTAGAAATTAATTAGATAAAATACTGAATTCTTATTAATTTATTCACATTAGGAACTTTCTATTAACTCAAAATAGCATTGATTTCCATCCTACCAAGAGCAAACGCATTAAGTTGAAGCATTTCTATTATTAAATATAATTATACTTTCTGTTTCTTTGTACACTTCATCTTTATATTTATTGAAAAATCTGCTGAGCTAGTGTAACTAAAAACATTAATATATGATATATGATATTTGACTTTCGCGATTTAAACATTATAATTTTATGTTCTCTAAACAAATGTATAATTTTTTGCTTTACAGCTACTTAATCGCGATTTATAATAAGAAAGTGTTTATATTATGTAAAGCGAATTGTAATATTTTTGTAGACCGGATTATAAACTATTAATTAAAAACAAGACTTAAATATGTCAAAATTATATACAAATATAACAAGAAGGCTTTAATTAAATGCGATTGGGAATCAAATGCATCGAATTTGTTATGTATATCTAATTATTTTATTGAATAAACAATAACATTTTTTATTCCTTATTTAGACATTCGAATTGATAAGAAATTTTGAAAACATTGAATATTTCTCTGTTAAAAAATGTTAGAAAACATTTTTATCATTTAAAAAATAACCAATGCGTCAGTTAAATATAAAAAAATATAACTTATAATTTAAAATTATAATTAAACAGTATACTTACTTTCATAAGAAAGTACATTCAGTTAATGCTAAATTCCTGAAAATATGGAAATTTCAAATCTATAATTAACATTATTGTTTAAATAAAGACAATAGGATAAAAATAAAGATTATTTTAACTTTTTGCATTAAAATTATGTATTTATATGCAAATAAATAAATAAAACTAATTAGATTGTTTTTATTTAATTTACAAAGATTTTATATTGGGTAAAATATCATGTATTTACAATTTGTTCAATATATCTATAATATAGAAAAACTGGTATTTATTATTCAAACATATGTGTTTTCTTAATAAAAATAAATATAATTTTGAAGTAAATTTATCATCATTTAAGAAAGTATATTTAAGTCTAACAATGATGTAAATTTTATTAAAATTACTAAAAAGTAACATTAAAACAATCATTTATATAAGATATATTTCTTTATATAAGAGTTTACAGTATTAAGTGTAATTTATGTGTTGTTTAACAGAAACAAAGAGAAATAATTAATTCTTAAAATAGATCAACAAATTCAGTCTTTGTTATGACTGATTTTTTTTATAAAATAACAGTCCTTTAATGTTTTAACTATAGCTTTTTTGTAAAAAATTCTATTATGTTATTTACAAAAATAATTAGTCTAATATGAAAGCAGTGTACAATGAAAACTAAACAATCCAATATAATATAAATGTCAAATTTCAGTAAAATTAGTCCTACAATGTTGATATGTCTGATGTTTTGAAAAATGTTGTAAGAATATGTTCAAAAATTTTAACTTCAGTACATGTACATATTATCATCTGAACTATATGTTTAATATATAGAAGATAACATAATACAAAATATTTTTGAAAAATCGATTTTTTAATTTCAACTCAATGCATATAGCTTGTTAAATGAATAAATTTATGAAATTCTAAGTTCAATAAAATTTTGAAATAATACAAGTGTGTTCATAAGTATATTTTATTTTTATGGTGACGACAACCACAAGAATACAATCCTGAGGAAATAACATTTTAACCGAGTAGTTACATGTGACATTATTTATAATACATGATGAATTACTCAAAGCAAAAATAAAAATGTATCATGATACATAAAAAGGTCATTAGGTTCTGTAAATCTAAAAAGTAAAAAATCAGAACTGTTTGTCAAATGTATGAATAGGACTATTTTTTCAGTTTTTCAACTGAATTAATGTAATACAAAATTAAATAGATACGTACAGCACATTGAAGTTAATTGTTTAGAATTGAAATTTTTATTTTTTATTGTGTTTAGTTGACACTTAAATTTTGTAGCCTAGAGCTCACAGCAGTGCTTATTTGTTCCTCATCTGCATCGCTTATCTTTGCACTTGGTGTTACGTTTTGACCTAATCTGGTACATGCTTTTTTATGCATAAACCAATGAAGTCTTTGACATTCCCTGTCACAATATTGCACCACTTTACATTTGCTACACTTTTTGTTAGCTTTATCTTCTCCACAAGTAATGCAAACTTGTGCATTATCTAAGAAGGCTCTTTGACCATCAATTACAGCTGATACTACTGATGCAGCAGATGGTGGATCACTAGCTGCAAGAGTTGCTACCATTTGACGAAAAATCGTACTTTCTCTGTACGGAAATTCTCTTACACTTTCCCTCAAAAAAGCTTCTTGGTACTCTGGTACGCCATCACTTTTACTACATTTTAGAAATTTTCTTATCAGACCTTCTATAGTATCTGACTTTTTCTCTTCTCCTTCTTCGTTTGGTTTATCAATTTTCTCTGCCTTCAGTGCTTCTTGTCTTTTTTGAAACTTGATCACTTCAGCTACAACACAACTTAGGTAATGATATTTAAATGCCATTACTTCATTTGTTTCTGCACCTCTTGTCATTTCTTTATGATGCATGGATTCTAAGACCTTTTGTATCTGTAAATTAGAACAAAAAAAGTCTGTAAAGAAATATTATTTGAAGAGTCGTGTTATTATATATAGTCTTTACCTTTGCAGCATTTTCTAAAAGACCAGGATATCTTTGTAAATTCATAGCTACACGTACAGGATGAACATTGATTTGCATTATAAATTTGTGAAAAGAATCTGCTAGATGTGGTGGAAGCATTGATTCAGTTTGTAATCCTTGTGGTTTAACATAATAATCTATGTCAGCTTTTGGAATAAAATTATTGATAGTTGCTACACAATTATGATTTCCAACAAATGCTGCCATCTGAGCTGGAGTTCGTCCTACACTGTTTGTTGCTGTCAATCTTGCTCCATAAGACATTAAAAGATGACAAAGCTCAGCATTTCCGCTGAGAGCTGCAAAATGCAAAGCTGTATATGCATGTTCATGTTGACAAGCATTTACATCTGCTCCCTATAATAAAATATTTCAATTACTTCAACCATGTAATTTATATGAGTTGTTCTTAATAATTTTTAATAATATTTTATATCGATAATTTTTAATGTTTGTCTACAATAAATTCAATTTTTCGTAAATAATAAACTTCTTAAATATATTTTATGATAATTCTAAACATCCTTATTAAAACGTAATCCATTTCCAAATGTATTATATAATAAACTATTCTCCAAGTAATCTATTAAAATCTTCATATTTTATACTATTTGGTTCTTATGACTTTCCTTTTTCTCAAGATTCTTCAAAAATACTTTTTGGAAAAAATTGTTTTATCTTCAAATTTGATCTGCACACAAAAGTTAATTACATTTAAAAATAAATATTTATTTGTTAAATTACAAAATAATAATTACTGCGTTTTAAATTGATAAATTGATAAACAGGTAAAAAAAGAAAGTCAAAAATATATCTAAAAGCATATAATCATTTATTTTTTACTACACATTAAGAGAAATCTACATATTAAAATTATATACACTGTTTAAATTACGTTCAATTGTTTTACGCATTCTTAAAAAGTTAACCTACCTGATCTAGAAGCATCTGCACTATTTCCTTGTTTCCTTTATAACAAGCATGTTGAAGTGGACTCATACCATTTTCATCCACGAAATCCATTTTGATTTTATTTACGGCTAACAATGTTTTCAATTCGGACACTTCATTATTACTAATTTTTGTGAAAATTTGCTTTTGTACTGCGATTAGACCCTCTGGTGAAGGCGCCATTTTTCCTACTATCGATCAAAGTAACGAGATTTCAAGCACAGATGAAGTATAAAATAGACATATCACCTTATAGGACATCGTGTTATACAAACTGAAACACCGATCGTGCACAGAATCAAAGATTTAATAGTGCCCTCTACAATTTAAAGCGGTAAATTTAGATATTATAACAAAAATATTTATTAAGGTTAATAAAATCAACAGATATAAAAATATTTTCTTTTCTTATATTTGCATACAAGAATATACGTATTAGATTTTATAGTTAAAATTGTTGACAGCTAAATCCAATTTCTTTAAACATTTTTATTTTCTAATTAATACTTACATTTTATTTGATTTAATTAAATTATACCATTTGATGTTGGTTTCAACTATATCAGCGAAAGGTAAAAGGCAAAGTAGTTTAGGGTAGTGTGATGAACTAAAAAAATTCAAATTAAAAATAAAACTATGAACAGAATTGTTAACGATATGTTAACAGTAGCATAAAATTCTTTTGTAAAATAAAATATCCACCAATGAAAACTAAATTTCTCGTATGTTTTAATAAAATATTATTTAAATATTATTATACTGTTGATATTATTACAAATACAACATTACTGTTATTAATATTATTACAATATTATAACAAAAACAGATAATATTAAAACATTAATTTCAGAGATTTCCTTCATCGAAATTATGAACTTATAAAAATAATTTTTACTATAAATATTGTATTTAATTATATATACATGAAATCATTGTAAATTTTATTAGCTTACATATCTCTTATTGAGTTATGCTTATCCTAAATGGTATTTAAATATTTCTGTTCGGTTTTGTTCAAATTCAGTATAATACGATGACCTTTGTCACACATGGTGATCAAAATGGTAGTAAATTGAACACAAACATGTTTGGAATTTCAATATTCATTACTAATAATTACAACTTTTATATTTTTTACTAAATATAAATTTGTATTTGAATTATGTTAATTTATAAATAAATTTAAATAATTTATATGTTATTATCATTATATTTTCTACGTCAGAAAAGATTTGCATTATCACACTTTCCGTTAAGAATTATCTTTCCAATCAACTATTTGTTCATTCATATGTCAACAAGTATTATAAATATTTAGTATTCAATTTTATACTTAATTTCATAGCTACGTTTAATTTTAATATCAACCACTACTAATATTGTAATTTTAATCTGCGTTAAATCAGTAACATTGGAAATGACGTTAAAATGATATGGGGACAAAAGGATACATTGTGTAATAGATCTATTCCATACTTTTTCTGTGACCTTATATTATTTATAGCTTGCAATACAATTGTTTAAAATATACACCAAATTTATTCAAATTAAGTAACTTTTTTATAATTGTTAATAATAATTAAATAATCAATATTGGAAATAAACAATTATTTCGATTGTTCTACTATTTAATTTAGTTTATTTTTAATTTTTAATTTAAAAACAGTACTCACTTTAGTATTTATTTTAGTATTATTACATTGTTAATTATAAATTACATTGTTATGCCTGGTTTTAAACATTTGTAACAAGAAAGAAAATGAGAAGAAAAAAACATTTTTTACTCATATGATTTCAAATCAATTACTATGCACAGTGATTGACGAAAATATTCGAACACTAAGGTATACCTGAATTAATCACTTAGTATCGCAGATACTTATACGCAGATCGTGTTCGTTATTTATTCTGGGGATATGTTTATTTAAGTTAACAAAACCATATGATTTATTTAATAAATTTGTATGGATTTACTATAACAAATTATGAATAAAATAATACCCTATTTTCACGCCACAAAAACATTCGGACACTTGGCATAAATAATATTATATAACTCTAATTTATTTATATAAACACATTTTTTAATATTTTATCGCATAGCCTCTTTGTTTCGATACGTGCCTCAATCTGTTGGGCATATTAAAAAATGATTTTTTCCAAATAATTCGTACCGATAGTAGCCCACTCTTCCAGCAACCTTTGTTTTATTTCCTCTTTTGAGTTAATTGCCGTTTTTCGTATTCTGCGATCTAACTTATCCATAAATTTTCAATGGGATTAGGTTCCGGCGATTGTGGTGGAGGATGAAGAACTTTCGGTCAACGATAAAGCAAGAATTCTTGAATAATGCATGCTTTATGTTTGGGCTCGTTATCCTGATAAAACTTAAAATTGTTGCGAATTCCCATTTTTTCTACACTATTTAATAAATTATTTTTCAGTAGGTGTAATTGACAGTTTTTGTCCATGATGGTGTCAATAAAAACTAAATTGCCAATTCCTCTGGTCGAAATACAACCCCAAACCATCACGCTGCCTCCGCCGTGTTTTACGGTACCTCTCGTGTTTCGATGGTGGAACTCTTCATTCCCTTTCCGCCACGCCATTCTTTTTCCATCTGAATTACGGATGTTAAAGGAATACACGTTCATCTCGAAACAATTCGGGGAACTCTTAAGCGACACGAGTACAACGTATATGCGATACAATGTGATTAATTCGGACATACCTTGATGTCCGAATATTTTCGTGAGTCATTGTATATAAATATCTCTCTATGGATTGGAATTAAGAAATGAAAAAATATTATTTTGTCTATAAGACAACTGTCAAGTCCTTGTGAATGTTTATTTATTTATTTATTCATTTATTATGTTAACAAGGCCCGAGCTGCTACCTATGGCTGTGGTTGCAACTCGGATGCGATGTATAAAATATAACATACAATTGTACAGGAAGGTTCGTCTTAAACGAAACATTAGAGTAATTTCCTCGAATATTGAGAATTTGGAAAATATCGAATACACAATTCTAACACATGTTTAACAAAAATATAGTTCTAAACAAATATTTTTCAAGATAACAAATATTAACATAATTTTTGTAGTTTACGATAATCTTTCGAAGTTAACTTAAGAATAAAGAATATAAAAACAATCATTGCATAATTTTTATTTATGAAAAAAAGAATTGCTAATATTTTATGTTAAATTACGATATTTCTGTTTTACAATACTTTTGAAATGTTTGCAAATATATTTTTGAATGACTAAAAACTTAACTAAATAATTATTTTTTAACATTTAATAATATTTTTTAGCAATATTTCTAATTTATCTTCATAGCAAATATTTAATTTATATAAATAATTACAGGAAAAGATTATTTTCAAAGTAAGTAACAAATAAAATCTATGGTTCTTGAAATATATCATTTCTCAAATGTCGTTTAGTTCTTGAACATTTTTTAAATCATCCGTGATATTTTTTCAAATTCTCATATTTGTGGAGATTTTACTTTTAGCAGTTTCCTCTGTATATATAATATATATATGCGTATAACTATACATACATACGTACCATTGCATCTAACAACAATAACTATATACTATATGGTACATACATGTGTATCTGCACATAGAATATTTTCTAACAAGTTTACGACGATAATTTTTCAAATACTTAACATTTATTCAATTATTTACGATGTCGTCAATTCTCGCAATGTGGACAGACAATTACTATTTTACAAACTAATATTTCTGTATAAAAAAAAATAAAAACCTAAGAAAATAGGAATAATTTTATTTAAATAAAAAAAAGTATAAGAAATAGTTGTCACATTTAATTTAATATTTCTGTTGGAAACAATAATATCGTTAAAGAAGAAATCTGTTTTAGAAAAATAATTATTCAAAATAATTATTATAAAACATAAACAAAAAAATGAACTGAAATCTACAAGTATACATATAACTTAAGTAATTGTACCGTCAATAGTAATTACATTATAATACTTTGTTCCTGTTTATAATACTGTTAAAAATAAAATAATATAAATAAAATAGTTTCTTTTAATAAAGTAAAAACAATAATTATTTCGAACAATCGAAATAACGATAAGTACCATTCACTATTCGTGAATTAACAATTATTAAGAACTAAAGAAACTTAACATTTCGATTAACACGAATACAAACCACTAAACAAAAAAAAAAAAATTAAAATTAAACAAGTAAACGAATTTAAAAAACAATTGTTCTAAGATGAAAATAACTATACAAATGTATAATAAAAATTAGGTCGAAGAATTGAAAACAGCGATATTGCGACCATTTTTCTTTAACATAATTCTCCATTGTCACATTATATGCAACTCGTTTCACAAATAAATCATTCTTATCTTAATAAAAAATTTCAGCCATTTTACAAGTTAATCTTTCAGGTATTGCCTACACGAGTATCAGATATTGTATAGTTAAAGCGTGGTTGCTTTTTAACACTAGAACTACCGATTCGTAATATATCCCTAAACATAGTATATATGGATAATAATAATTAAAGCGAAATGACGAAAATAAATAGGTATATATAATTATGTTTCTATCTCGATAAAGGTCAACATTAATTTCTTTAAAAACGGCTATTTATATTAACCCTTTACGGTCCGAATGAAAAGTGTCCACGCGACGCCGTATCTCAACTGCTTCATAGTCATAGCCAAGAACCTATTTAGTAATGCTACTTAAAATTTCGTTCTATTTTCATATTTTATTATTTATTTCTATCTCGTCTAATGAATAACGTGTCTATGTTGAGATATTTTTCTCGCATTAAATTAAAACGCAAAATGCCTCGTTTCATTTATAAAAATTACGAAGAATCGAAGAAAAGAAAATGGAGGATGCAATTCGACGTGGAACCGCAAGGGGTTAAATAATTGCGAAAAGGAAAAATTCGAAACAACTCATCTTGGCTAGTTTGGGAATTCTAGTGTTAACCATAACGCTTGAAATTCACTACTTTTTAATGTAACGTTTTACACCTGATCGGTGATTACAATTCGCGTATAGTCTACACAGCATATGCGCCTGGTCGAACCAGACGGTGTAAGAGAAACAATTGGAAGTGATTATGTTTTTAATACGCATCATTCGTGTAAAGCACGTGTTAACCCTTTATCACGAGGAGGAAGTAATTATTTCCTGTAGTTGTCTTCGACAAGCTGTCAGTGATACTTTTGGAGCATTTATACTATATATAGTATAAATATGGAATATATATTACATATTAATACTATATGATATTAATATATAGTATTTATATATCATAGTATATATTTATCCAATTCTTCAACTTTAATCGGTTTTAGAATTACTATTCTATTAACATTTACAGAGTGTTTATTTAGTATGAATTTATCTATGAATTTATCTATGAATTTTGTCTAAGTACCTACTAAATTACGAAGTTATTGCAATGTTTCATCGATGAGGAAAGAAAAATATAGATTCGAGATATGATGTATAAATGTACGTACCCCATGATGTTTTTATAGTATTTTGTAAAGTTAAAGAGTTAACACTGTGATTCAGAATGAAACGCAAGTCCAGATATTCTTTTCCAAACAACGACGAGTTCAGCAACTTCTCGAATGAAGAATGCTTTACAAATACTCGATGTCTCTGAACTAGACAAGAAGTATCGCTATTATATCGCTATTACAATCATTCATCTTTCTTTATCAACTATTTATATTTATTTTGTAGTTTATAGATCTAACGTTCATATAGCGAAGGCTTAACACTTTCCTGTTTCCGTTTCTAACGAAACATTTTTAATCGATAAAAGATTAAGTTTTATTGAATGTTAAAGCTGTCGTCCAAGAAATTTCCTTGCTCGAAATAATTACAGCCTTACATTCGCTAGATCTAGAATAATATCCATACTCTATTTGATGAATTTACCTAGGAAATTTCATAATGCCTGTAATATTTACAGGTTGGACCATTTGCAACGTGTTCTTCCAAACACTTGAGGAAAATTTCACAAACATAATTTCACAAAGATATATATACTGTTTCAGAAATGTAGAAGAGTAGGTAAAAGTTGTGTCTATGATAATATTCGTAACTTTAAATTATACGAGGAGGTGGAAATCATGTATGTAATAATATACATGATTTTAAATTATACAAAAATTATACTATTCTGCATATAACAATATACGTAACTTTACGTTATACAAGAGTAGCTGAAAATTATGTATATTATTGTATACATATATATTAGATTGCATAAGAGTACATAAAAATTATGTACATAACAATGTAATAACATTAAATTATACAAAAGTGAATACAAATTATTTATATATAATAATATACATAACTTTAAATTATACAAGAGTAGTACAAAGTTATTTATATAATAATAATAATTTGTGCGATTGATTTATCTCAAAAAGAAGATCGTCAAAGTGAGTTACTCTTTCAATGCACTTAACTGTTTTGCTACAATGCTTCAAACTCAATATAAAATCTTATATAATCAAGAAATTCTTCTTTCTACCTTTTTCAAAAAGAATAATTTGAAAAAATCATTAATAATCATAGCAAATTCTTGTTATTTTAGCAATATTGATTATTTAATCTTATTAAAAATAAACATTTATTCATGATATTACTTTCACTTTATGTTATATTATTAACAGTATTTAATATTCGTAACTTCTGCCGCTCAAATGATACGGAAGAATGTGTCTTTACATATTCAAGTTCTGATGTAATTTATAAAAGAAACCAAAATTAAGATCATATATCATGATATAAAAAAAATTATAAAATTATATATGTACATACAATAATAATTATGCAATTACAATTATAATATATAATTTTATAATTATAAATTTTATAATCATATCTATAACCAAATTATTTCTGAAGAATAATAAACTCGAATAATAAAACTTAAAAATTTGGCTGATGAAACTTAAACAAATCTCAAGAATTCTTTCATTTAATCTTTCCTGTGTCATTAATTAAAACATTTCCACAATAATATCTAAATATTCACAAGCCAATATATTCTCGTTAGATACATATCTTGCATCGCTAATAGTAAGCAAGTCAGTAGTGCATTAAAAAACTAGTACTCGGAGTATGACAACTGAAAACTCGCCAAGATCAACCCCTTACAGGTTATTCAGAAGATACAATTTTTCAACTGATTTCATAATTTTGTCTAATCACTGACTACCAAAGCAACGTCCACATTCATTTATGTGATGCTGCCACGCGTGAAATTTGGATTTTCAATGAAGATATGCCGTTGCGTGAAAGTTTCCCCGAATCCCCACCAATTTGACAAAATTATAGAAACAATCGAAAAAGCATATTTCCTGAACTAGCCATTACGTTTCACGAGAGACACGATGATATTCGCTTCGAGAACTTCTGGTCGATGAATGACGACGTGTCAAGGAAAGCTCCTCTTCCTCTGTCGAAAAAGTAGCTGAAGTCCAACTCGCAAGAGTCTCAAAGCTTCGTTCAGAGAGCAAGGAATCATCAGATGGGTTTGTTATCGTAAAATCTAAGTGGGTGCGTTCGAAATCCTTGTGATTCAGTGCAAATAGTTTCGCGTAAGACTACATTCCCACGTTGGAATATTAGCAAAGATATACTTGGAACCGGGCACCGTGCAAAATCACAACCGCACTGTCCTAGACTGGCTCCGGGGGTGGATCTCCGTTAACACCTTCCCTGGATTGGATCATCACTTCTGTTTGTTCCTTGGTCAGGTCCTGTTGTTCCTTGGTCAGATTTAAATCCTGGTCTGCGATGAAACTACGTCGAACAGCGCCATTCGCTACTGAAGACAAGTCTGCGTTTCTTTGCTGAGTGTCTCTCCAGGGAGTGGTGAGAATCTTCAATCTCTGTAATTTCGTAGATACAATAGTCTTTTGTGTGTTTATGTGCTTTGAGAATGGTAAAATAAGAAAGAAGATATAATTACAGGGAATTCCAAGAATGTAATTCTCACTGGTTGATCAAAATAATTTTCAAATCGCTCGATATTATATATATAAGTACTTTTTTAATTATTTGATATTATAAACACAAGTAAATTAAAAATTATAGATATAAACATAAATATTATTAACACGAATAATTTAAAGGTTACTTGTTATTATAAGTTGGTTGGTAAGTCGATAAATAATTTTGAAGTATAAATTATTTTTAAATTACCTGCATTCGTATTATAGATATAAGTAATTTTTAAACTATTTAGCATTATAGATTCTTGATTTTACATTTATTTAATTTTTATTTAAATTTTATTTATTATATTCATTTATTTTACCTCTATCTAGCTTCTTTATTTAACATTTTTATCCAAAACATATACAATATATAACGTATATACAGGTGGTCTTTGCAACAGTAGTACAACCGGGAAGGGAGTGATTCTACGTGAAAAAACAAATCAAAAATAAAGAATAAAATTTTTTAATTTCAAAATTCGTTGGTAAGGCGTCCATCCGCCTTATTGTTAGCCAAAATTAAGCGTACGCATACTCGGTGAATATTCAAAGTCGATTTTCTTGATAACGAAGCTTCGAATGAAAAAATTGTATTCTTCATTTTCAATTTGCTTTTTTACGCAGAATCACCCACTTTCCGGTTGTACTACTGTTACTCGGACATCCTGTATGTAATATGCATATTATATATAGTCAGTTTAATATAATTAGTATATAATTGTGGGAATTGAAGTCCTGATCCTAAGAAAATGCTAAGAGTGTGTGGAACATAGGACGAAAGTGACCACGTGTGAGAAGATCGGTTGCAAAGAATATTTATGACAGGGTCAAATGCGAGCAATGAGCAAAGTCTAGGAATACGTTTGAGTGTTTCGAGTACCTGGCAAAGAAGACAGTGTAAGGTTAAGATAGAGGTACAAGGATGCGGGCGAGTCAGTCGAAAAATAGTAGTTGTGGGGCAGTAATTGCAGGTGCGTTGCCAGGGTGATAGTTGTAAGAGAGTTGTCAGAGTCGAGTGAGAGTGTCCGAGAGAGTGTTAGCGAGTAGAATTAGTTCCAGCGTATTTGTAATCGTTGAATATGATATATATATCTGTGTAACTCCCTAGCTCTTTCTTTATATCATTATTGCCTTACACTCTACATAATGTATGTCATATAATGTATTTAACTGTATTAATAGATATACAATTTTCAAATGAACACACTGTGTATGTAATATGCATAATACGACATATAATGCATAAATATTGCATTAAATTATAATAATATTATTATTGAATATAATATATAACACTTACTGACAAGAATTAAGAAACAAAGTAATCATTTGCAAATTTTGCTGGAATTATATTGTTCGTCTCTTTCAGATACATAATATCGAAATTAAAAATAAGACGAAGATATAACATTTTATACGTCAATCAACTTTAAGTATTTTTTCGAGTATCTTCTATGAAGTCCACTTTTAATTTTAATCTATGTGTTTCGAGAAATAAAGAATATACAAAAATTTGCAGATTATTACTTTATTTTCTTAATTTAAGTCCGTATTATTATTTAAAATGGATTTATTTCTTTAGTATTAGTAAAATGTTGAGAAAAAGATAAAAACAATTGCATTAAGATAAAGATATTACCTGAATGAAACCGCCGGGCGTGACGATGATCTTGTAAATTGCGATGCCGGGTATCATGGCAATTGAGGAAGTCGCAATTAGCCAGCCTAATACATTTGCCCAGACTGGGTACACGTAATCCTCGTAAGTCAGTGGTTCGTAACCCATTAAACCATAAACGATGATAAACTGTGGTAATATAAAAAATTTATTTATAAAGAATGACTCAAACTTTTCTTTCTTTTTTCCTATCTTTGACTTTTCGTGTAATTTATTATTCGTTAGAAATAGAGTGGATCATTAATTAAAAACACGCTGGATGTTCTTTAAAGAAGTAGCATCTTGTGCCAGAAATATCACTCAAATTTGAAGAAAATAAATTTGTACCACAAAATTTAGATCATCGAGAAACAGTATCGACGTTAATGACCTATTAGTAATCATAGATCAGTATGTGTACAGTAGTCGATGTAACGTACAATACGCACAGAAGAAGAAGAGGAAAAATAAGTAATAGATTGTAGACAAACTTCCCTTTCTTTCGCAATAAATATAAACGCGATATAATTAGTGTACCATGAGAAAGATTGGAGCAACGAATTTCCAGCAGACTCTCCAGTAGATTCCAGGTGAAAATCCAATCATATCCTTGATATCTGCGCAAAATCTGTCAGCTCCGTAGATCCAACTGACAGCGATCGCTTCGGCCAAAACTGCGAACAGCATCGAGTATCCTGCTGCATATCGATCCAGTAGGTGGAAGAAGTAAAAGCCACCCTATATAAACACAAATTATTCTTGATAGATATTATTTCAATATAACAATTATAAATATTTGCTTGAAATTGAATACAGCTTATACCGAAATTAAATATAGTAGAATTCTGATTATCCGACCTCCGATTATATGAAATACACGATTGACCGGTACGTTTATCCTATTCTTCGGCAATTATCCAGAATTATATTTCATGCAAGAGCTCACAGTTGATAGTCACGTTCATACTAAAAGATTAATAAACAAAGCTGTAGAATTCGTCAAATATTTGATTTCAATGTAACTGAAAATCTATTCCATTGTTAGTCAGTGTTAATTCAAATTTAAGAGACTACATAGCATTCTATAATTCTGGCAACTCATTTCCAAATGTGCTTAAATTTCATTTTATTAGTTAAAGTTATGCCAATGACAGAAACTAAAGCTATATTTATTTATATATTTTATTTTTGTCGGCAGATCGCATTACTATGTTATCCATAGTTGTATTTTGATTAGATTCTTCACTTGTATCACTTCGTGTCTAGGAATAGTCCAATTATCTGGCATATTTGATTATCTTGCGCCGTCTCAGTCTCGATTATGTCGGATAATCGTAATTCTATCGTGTTATTTTAATAATTCTAATTAATTTGGTAAATTTTATTTTTAGTATTTCAGTTTGGATATTATATGATACACTCCATCATTTGCGATAATTTTTGTATTATCTACTTTAATGTTTCATATTTAATGTAACATATAATAATTTTGTTACTTGTAATAGCATAATAATGTAATATAGTACTATTATAATAAAGCATGTTAATAGTATAGCAATAGTGTTATATTAATAGAAATATAACGATACCAATTGCAAAATATCGTAGTTTAGCAATCATAATAATATAGCAAAGGCAATACAGTGGCAATAATAGTACAGTAATAACATAGTATTAATAATAGTATAGTGTCATACCAGTGAAACTATCATAGTAGTGATAATATAATAGTAACAATAATATAACAGTAATGATAGTATAGTAATAGTATAAAATATATTTACTATTTTATATATAATATAATATATATATATCATATACCTATCATTTTTACAAATATTACTATAATTACTATACTATAATTACTATATTATAACTATTTTATAACTAAGTTGAATCGACTCGAGAATTATTCTATTTATTTCCTACTACTGCCCTAATATTCAGTATTTACTTTATTGATGTAAGTACAATGCATATGATTATATCGTTAAATGCTTTGTGTCATTTCTTTACCTGGGAACACGAGGCCAAACCAACGAGGAAATATAGTGTGAAAAGCGAAGCGACGAAAATTTCACGATTATTCCCGATAATTGGAAACTCATCGCTCAGAGCAGTTATTATCGCCTCAGAGCCCCCGAACTAGAAAATTAAGAAAAGATTTCATTATATTATAACGTAAAATGATTAAATTATATCGGAATTCGAAATTGTATTAAGACAAGTCTGATGAATGCATAAAGATGGGATTAAAACAAAATTAATAATATGAAATAAAAATTTTTTTGCCATTTTTAGCCAATAAAAACGAAAATCTATAAGATTTACCCGCAGATAATTTCGTCTTTTTAACAAGTCCTAAAGTTGATTCATGTAATATATTGTACTGTAAATAAAGAAGGTACTAACATTATAAGACAACGTTACAAGAAAATTAAGAAAATTTTGGTTTTAATGAAAGTTTTTGTTCATGTCGAGCGCAATGTACATATATATGAAACAATTTCTTTTATCACCGCAAAATTTCTTCAAGGAAGTGAAATTAACCACCCAAGATACAGCGTTTTTCCATGTTTTGAATACAATTTTATTTGGGATGCTTTGCCAGATAATAGGTTAACTAAAAATTCAACAATTTTTATATGAAATGTATTGTTGTATCTTGTATTAATAAAAAATTAGATTTAAAGAAATGAAAAATACATTGAAAATGAGGCCGTTAATTCCACCACTATAAAACAATATTCCATAGAAAAAAATAACTACATTTACAATTTATTAAAAAAATTTATATTATATTTTTATATTTCTAAAATTTTACCCCAACGTGCGTATTCCATTTATTAAAAATTTGGAACCCAAGGTATTTAAACACTTTTGTTAGAGTCTGTACGTATCTATTGTTTCAAAGTTAATCAATAAGTACTATTTCCTCAATTTATAAATAAAAAGATAAAAATAGTTGGAAGTGATACACAAACGTATAAAAATAAGATACGTTTGCAAAAATGTTTGACAAAATTCCATTAAATTTGTTCCTACTTTTTATGAAAATTATTATTAAAAATTTAGGAGTTCTCTGGAAGAAGGATCTATCTGTCGAAATCGTTCATGAAGATGTTCAAAGTTGAAAAGCTCAGAATACAAAAAGAATAAAAAGAAAATAAGAAAATAGAAGAAAGAAAAGAAAAGAAAAAGGAAAGGCAAAAGAATAAGAAAAAGGAAAAAAAAGAAAAGAAACAGAAAAGAATATTAAAAAAAAGAAAAGGCAATTTTTGTTTGTAAAATCGCCATATTGATAAAGAGTCTATAAGATCGATACTGTATAAACTTCATCTCGAATACAGAAGAATAATGTAATAAAAAATAATCTGAAAACATGTGATAATCAGAAATCTAGATTGCTTATGTCTAGAAATGCCTTTCTTCCAGAGTGCTCCTGAATTGTTTGATAATCTGTACCGAGCTGTCCAGTCCCAATGTAAGCAACATCATGAAAAAGATGAGCGCCCAAAACATCGATCCAGGCATAGTAGCGATAGCAGCAGGGTAGACGATAAACACTAGACCGGGTCCTTCAGTTGCTACATCCTGGATAGATTTTCCACTTGCTCTTGCCATGTAGCCTAGTACAGAAAAAATCACAAAACCAGCGACGAAGGATGTCGCGCTGTTTATCAGGCTGGTTAATAAAGCGTCCCTGGAAAAACATGTAAGTGACAAATAAATTTTCAATTTCATATTTACAATTTTATATACACAGGGTGGGCCGGAATTCGTAGTACAACTGAGCAAGGGGTGATTCTAAGTGAAAAATCAAATCGAAAGAAAAAAATAAAAGTTTTTCACTCGAACCTTTGTAGTCGAGAAAATCAACTTTAAATAATCATCGGGTACGCGGGCACTTAAGTTTGGCTTACTGTTAAATAGATGGAGCATCGGTATACCAGCGTATCCCGCGAATATTCAAAGACAATTTTCTTCACTACGAAGCTTCAAATAAAAAATTTTATTCTTTTTTTTCGATTTGGTTTTTCACGTAGAATCACTTTTTTGTCGGTTGTACTACGAAGGGCCCACCCTGTATATGTATATAACTACACAATTTTACAGATAAAATGACGATTTTTATTCGAATTGCTGATTTGTAAAATTGATTAAATCTACGAAATGAAAAATAAAAACTTTATTATCTCTCCTTACAGAAATATAATTTCCCTTTCGTAAAATTTTCTATGTTTCTTTAAAAAAGAATAATATAGTCTCTTACTCGACTATTAAACATCATTTTATCTATTCATTGCTAATAACAAATATGAAGCTATACACGTGACTCATTACGAATAATTATCGCTAACAAGAATCCGTTATTTAAAGCAAACTTTAAATGAGACAGATTTAATTGTGCATGCATTACTTACTTGTAAACGTTGTTGTGATATTTATTGTAACTCGCATAAGCCAGGAGCACCCCAAAACCCGGCCCGAGGGAGAAAAACACCTGCGTTGCAGCGTCTACCCAGACCTAAACCAAGATTAAGGATTCTTAGCGAAGGATTCCGGGTAGTCTGTACTTTATAATTGAAACCTGAATTTTACTTAAACTTCCGTCGATCTCGAACAATGAAACATTACTCCGCGTTCATTCGCTTTGCTGTTCATAGAAATATTACTCATAAAAAATTTTTTATTTAACTCGAATAATAGATATTTGTTAAAATAATATTGTATTAATTTGCATGAATTGCGATATGCTGAAAATAATCATAATTTATTAAATTATTTTGGTTACATTATACTAAATTATATATCGACGTGCTGTTGTATTTATTACAGATCGAAGTTTAAGTTTGATTACAGGTTAAAAATAATTAAATATTAAGATTCATATTATTATCGATAAAGATATTGAGATAATATTTATGTAGCAATTTGTAACTGTTGTATTATCGAATTACTGTATACAATTTGAATTAATTGCGACTTTAAATGATTATTCGATTAATTAGCATTCGTTGTTTTAGAAAAAAATTTGAAATAATTTCAAACGCGTGCAGAAAGCAGAAAAAATCATTGAATTGACAACTAACAATAAGAAAAAGCGAGGAACTAGAATGGATATCGAAGAAAATTATTAAATTACTATAAAATAATTATTACAATTATTCGATACAAAAATAATATAATTATTCGAACGACTGTCACGTTTTGGTTCCCATAATCGAAGTTCTAATGACCGAAACACGAGTTTGAAAATTATTTAGAATATCTGTATGTAATATCCTCATCGATAATTGTAAGTTGCAATTTAATCGTGTAATTCAATTTAACTTAATGAAATTTTCAGCAAAAAGGATAATATGAATTGAACCGATAAAGAGTACTAATTAGTAGGAGAAAAATGATCAAGGAGATATGCAAGTAAAAAATCAGACAATGATACAAATGAATTAACGAAGAAATCATTGATAATAAATTGTAACGATTCTATTTCAATAATCCACTTTATATATTCAATTATCCGAATAGTTTCCGATAATTGGGTTCTGTTATAATAATATTGTATTTAAATTAAATACTACAATAATATTGTATATCGTAGTTAAATAAAACTATACTTTAATAATACTCTACACATCGTAGTTGAATAAAAATATATTATAATAGTACTGTATACCGTAGTTAAATAAAAATATACTACGATAATGTTGTATATTGTAGGTAAATAAAAATCTATGAACCATTTATCTATATGATTTGTACACTTCTATGAATCAAAGCTCAAATTTACTAACAACTGAATTAATTTGAAAACAATTTATTTCCTTTATTCGACCCTCCCCATAAGACAGCATCAAGTCGCACAGACGAGGCAATAGTTCATTCCCTTTACGAAGAAGATCTACCTCCGTAAGAGGAAATGACACAGGCGATTCACCGTAAATCCTCGGATTTTTGCAATCAACAAATTTCCTTGGTCGCTGTATAAAATCTATTTTAGCGGTCTAGAAGCTGGTGGCTAAGCCGCTCAAAAGAAATGCATTTCGCTTGCGTGTCGCAGGGCTCGAACGTGCGATTCCCAGGCCTGTGACTGGACCGAACTCTAATGGTCATTATGACAGGTACACAGAGTTTCCATTTTCAGCGTCGTCGGTTAAACTTGGCACGTTTCCCTCTTTCCCATTTTTCTCGCGATGCTGTCCGATTTTTTCGACCCTCTTATGCCGGTGCATTAACTTCCTGGCCTTCGGATTTTTATTCCTCTCCACGGCCACTGTAAATGGCCATTTCATAACGCCGCGATCATCCGCTGAAAGGCGATTCGCTAAATCCAGAAAATGAAGTCGACAAACGCGCGATGGGTCACGAAAGTGAGAGTGGGCTTTAATAATATAAAAGGAGTTAGAAGATTTCCTTTTATTTATTCTCTTATTTACGAAAGATGCCACGTACCGAGGGGATAAACTGACAATAAGCCAAATTTTAGAGACAGAAAAAAGTTGAGAAATTTTTATTGGTCCTGTTCCTGCTGCTTGTTAATAGATGAATAAGTTGTAGCTATCCAATTCTTATTTTTTACAGTTCATGATTTGTTATAATTGCTATTCTCTTCTGTCGTCTATGTCTCATACGATAGTTGTAAAAAATGCTTTAGTTTTAAAACTGATTATGTTATAAAGTTATAAAAATAATTCCAGTCTTTAATTTTACATATTTATTTCATTCGTGTAATAATTTTTTTTCTTTTTTTATTATTTTTTTACGTCCCTCCTTATTGAAATTTTTGATATGGGTGTACAAAGTACAGTATTAATTTGAAAATATTTTGGACTATTTATAAACAATGAAAAATTGTTTAAAATTATTTATTTTTAATTGAACTTTCCATTTTTGCATAACGTGAGTAACCATAATTTAATTTTCGAAGTACCAATTACAAAATTTTATATACAATAATTTTGAAATTTATTAAATAATAATTTTATAGCTACAATTCTATACTGAAAGAAAATGACAGTAGATATGATTGTCTCTTTATATTTAATTTAAAAAAAAAGTGATAATGATATTTGAAGAAGTATTTAATTTTTTGATCAAGTCAATGTAAGATATTCGAATAATAATTCCAGAATTTATTAATTATTTTGAAATTTCGAATAAGTTTCATCTTTTATGTTATAATATTTTATTATTTTATTATTATGTTATATATTATAAAAAAATTATATAATTGTAATATATAATAATATTTTAATATAATATTATATATTATAATATTGATATCACAATTATATAAATATTGTAACGTTACGAAAGAGAGATTATTCTCTGTACCTCTGCTTTTGTGATGGCAGAAAAATTCGGGTTGAGGTAGTAGCGAATTCCTTCTAAGCTTCCCGGCAACGTGACTCCTCGTAGAAGTAGAATTAGTAGAACAGCATAGGGAAACAACGCCGTGAACCAAACTACCTATAAAAAGAAATAAATTGTTTTATTATCACATTCATCGAAACAATAATTTTACCTTCGTCACAAAAGCTAATTAAAATTTTTGTTAGGTTAATAATCAATGTCAATAATTATATGCAATTATTATTTACTAACGTCAATTAATATTAATTAATATCAATGTTCATAATATTATTTGGTATTAAATGATATCCTTTGATAATATAATATCCAGAAAAATTGCAACTTAAAATGTTTAACATATTTTTAAAAAGACAACTTTATTTCTTTCTCATAGCTGTATGAAAATATAATACTAATTCTAAAACATTAATTATATTCAAAAATTCTAAAATTTTGAAACTGTTAATGCTTATGAAATTTTATTACTAACAGAAGTTAATAATTTTCGTGACTTTTAATGTCACTGAATGACATAAATTTTCATCTTTAGAATTGTATACGTAACTACTTTGTTAGTTGATCCTATAATAAAATAATAATAAAATAGCATTTTATATTTCTATAATCTTTAAGCGATTTTTTTTATATAGTAAAAGCCACATATTTATTAATACTTTATTAACAATTATGTTAGATATATATATATATTAATATATACATATTATATACTGTGAGCTAATGTAAATTCCGCAATTGCTTTTTTTAAAAAACGTAATAAAATATACCGAAATTTCTTTTACATAGTCGTTAAAATAATATCAATTTCTAAATAAATTTTCTAAAAAATTTTAAAATAGCGTTCATTAAAAATGTCATATACCATGACCACGTAAAATAATTTCTTTATGTTTAATAATGTTTTAATAATATAGGAGAATAATTAAGAAAAAAGTCATAAAACATGTAAGGAGAAAATTCCTTCTCTTATGGTGAATTTACGAGATTTCAACGATATTTCGAAACGATAATTCAACATGGCGTACTTAAAGGATTATGTTACGACTTTGAAACTTTATGAGAATAAAAATTTTTAACGAGGATGATCGGTATTAAAAATGACTATAAAACTGGAATTTAATAACGGACTAGAGCAATGATAAAAATGAAATAGCGCTTCAGTTATGCAAATCGATATCACTCTAGCACTTGGAATTGGAAAATTACTTTTTGTGAAGTCAAACCGCAACAAAGGGGCCTTTTTGAAGTAACAGAACCAAATGGTTATAGAAGAGTTAAATGCATAAAACCCAGAAAAAATTATTATCCATAACATACTTATATTCAAAGCTTTCAATATGATTTTTCTAAAATATATTTTAAAAATCGATACGTAGGATTTTTCTAAATTTTTCACATTATTTTGGAATTTTTAACTTATCCAAAACACATTTTCACATATGTTTCACATCCAATGTATGACTTTAATGTCAATGTAAACTTCTCGATATTTTAAAATTAATTATTTTTTTAATATGAAGTTTTAGTATCGAGCAGTTTTCAGTACGAAAAAGTTCATTTTCATGAATATAAAACATATAAAACATATAAAATAAATTATACGTTTTTAATATGCAAGATATAAAATATGTAAAATTACGTCTTTTTAATACAAAAAAATATAAGATATAAACTATATTATATTTTTAATATAAAAAAAATTCAATTTTTAAAGAACTTGAACTGTAAAAGTTTACTTTATATCGTGCAAGAGAGCAAAATTTACCTTGCCAGAAGTAGAAATACCCTTCCACAAAGAAAAGTAACAAATCACATAGACCACCAGCAGACACAGCGCGATGTCCCATTTAATTGTTCCAAGATCATGCAAACCTTCGCTTTCATGAAGTTCCAGAATAGCTCGGCTTTAAATAATATTAACGAATTAATTTTAGTTAACTACATTTAAATTACTTTTAATTAATCAAGTTCTGTTCAACGAGTATTTATTTTTACATAAATATTCCTTTTCCATTATCTTTTAATATTTTGTCGTATTTTTTAAAGATGTCAAATTTATCAAAAATTATTAAATAGGATATTAAAAATATAGCAATTCGAGTATATGACACATGTAATTATATAGCATTATATATGAAATTACTCTTTAATAACAATGTAAATTAGTAAAACAAGAGACTAGAAGGTACTAACTTAGGAACTACTTTTCCTTAAACGAATACTTATATTTTCTTTAGAAATATCAAATCTTCTCGTTATTCTGTATAAAAAGATGTTTGGATGACGTAATCAGATATAAAATATAAAAATATTTATACGTATAGACATTATAAATAATAAACAATTGAAATTATAATATATTGTATATTAATTTTAATTATTTACAATTTATAATTAAAGAAAAAGAGTACCAAGACTCACTTGAAGTATTCCTGTGCAGCGCTTGTGTACCACGTGTTGTTATAGCCTTGATTCGAACCTCTGTCCGAATGTTCCTCAATTAAGGATGAATTGCTAAAGTCTGTAGAATCGAGAGATACATCGTCGAACGTGTAAGAAATATTGGCATCGAACGCGCGACAATGTGGCGTGTTCCACGGATTGTCGCAGGTGGTCCAAGGCAGAAGACTGGAGAACGAGGCAAAGAAATATCTCAACGCCCAGGCAATGATTACGTTATAGTAGAAGTCTACGTAGAACGCGATTAGTGCCACTGCGTATCCAATTCCTATACAAACAGAACATTATCACGTGTTTTTCATTTTTTAATAAATTTCTAAGTGCTATTATTTTTAGAGTTTCTTATTTTTTCCTTTCTTACACGTTAAATTTATTTTGTTCATATTACAAATGGAAATTATAATTAAAGGAATTATTTTCAATTAAATTTAATATTACAATATGTGTCTAAATGTAATATACATAGATGATAATAATAATTGAAGTATTTTTCGAAAAATAAAATATATATATAGAAGTATACATAATTATATTATACAATGTTGATCAAATTGTTCTTTACTGTTTATTACAGAAGTGATTTTTAGTAATTCATTCTCTAGCTTTAAAAACTCTGCCACACGTTTAATTTCCTTAATAAAAGAATCTATTTTAAAAAGAAAATTACAAATAAGATAATTGTTTTCAATCGAATTCAAAGAAAATAAAATTTCCATAACAAATCCAACCTATTGCTACAATTATTTCTGAACTACATTTTACGATACAACCTTCATTGTATAAAACTATTAATCTCTTAATCTCGTAACCAATCAGCAATCCCTCATTTCTTAAATAAAAGAATTTCATCCCCCGCTTTGAAACGTTAGTTGTTCCATTTAATTTCGAAAATGATAAGTCCTAATACATAGAAAGCGATTCATTTCAGGGGGATTAAAAATCTTCGAGGGCGTGTCTTATGTCCTGATTCTTGAGCTGGGAGAATATTCCATTATCCCGTGGGAGCTGTGTCTTCAGCGGCGAATCAATTACGTCGTTCATCGATGCGGATCAAAAGGAAAAAGCCCGCGGAAGACAAGAGTTAAGAGAAATCCTGCACTTCCATCGATCATCGTGACGGTCCCGGCTGAAATGGTCACGATCCAGGAAATCGACGGAAATGGAGCCTCTCCCCGAGTGGTCTTTCATCCACAATCATCCACGAATTTTCCCCGAATTTATACGCATTACATAACCGTATAGGACATGGAATAGAGGAAAAGAAAATATACCAGCCGTGTCTAATGCACAGTACCTTTCAGAGAAAGATGGTAAAATGCTTCGAAACGTTTTCAGAACTGTCCTAAGAGTCAATCAGAAGAGTGATTCAGGGAGTACCATTACCTCCATCGTTGGAAAGATAATTTTAACGCGATTATTTCTAAGCCAGTACCGAGACATCTTTTTTTCTTTTCTTTAATATTTCTTCAATTTAATATTCGTCGATTTAGGTTTTTAACCTTTTACATTGATATTTAATCCTAAAATCTTATACAGTGAAAAAGAATTTAATTTTCTATATTGCTATATATTTGTTTCGGTAACAATAAAGTCATACAAGTTTTTAGAATTTATATGAATTTTACTCGTGTTAAAACGTGTTAATAATGTTATTCGTGTGACTTAAATAGTTACTTGATATGATATGTTATATTTACTGTAACAATAATGTTGGATGTATCTGGATTTATTATAGTTTAACTATATGAAAAGTGGTAAAAGCAAGAATAATTTTTAATTTGTAACAATAATTATACATTTTTTATATATATTGTATAATAATTATTAAAATTATTATATGAATTTAAGAAGATACACGAATTTAAGAATTTAAGAAGAATTTAAATAAGATTGAAAAATTTGGAAGTTAATGTTTAAATAACGAATGCAATTAATTTCATTAATCATCTTTACTATTTTAAATTTTCTAAATTCCAATAAAATCATAAAGTCTTATATACATTCCAAAGAATTAAAACTATCAAAAAACTATTAAAAGGAGAGGTTATTAATTGTAAGATTAGGAAATTAATATTTTGTAAAAATAAATAAAGGAATTATTTTGGTCTTAAATAATTTTTAAAATAATACAATTTTTAAAACCATTGTATTCTCAATTACATAATCAATGTAATTAAATAAATATAGAAACTTATATAAGAGAATGGAAAATTGAACTTTAAAATATATGAATTATCTAATTAACTTGAAATTTTAAATATCTGACTAAAATATATTATATTAATTTTATAAATTGACATCTCAATTTCAAATTTATTAATGTCAATTTTTTGACTCTTATTATTTCCTATATTGAGCAATTTGATGTCCTTACCTTTCAAGAGTGGCACCAAACGACCCCAACAAGTTATTGCGCCTTTTCGATTGAACTGACCCAGGGCAAGCTCCATATAAAATAGTGGAATTCCTCCTACCACCAACATTATACAATATGGAACCAGAAAGGCCCCTGAAAATATAATATAATATACATATGATAAAAATTTGAAGTATGACAACTACACTTTTTAAATGTTAAATACGTAAACACTAAATAATAAATATTAAAGAACAAGATTTTTCAAATATTAAATAACAATTTTATTAATTGTCTTTAAAGTTTCATTAAAAAAAGGCTTTTAATATTAATTAATATCGTTAAAAATTTGTAGATAAAAATTTTACAAAAAATTTACTTTGTTTTAGTTACTATATAAATAAAATTCACAACTAAGGATACGTTTACCTTAAAAATTTTTCTGTCATATCAAAAGTGAAGAAGTGCTACAATAATATAATTTGAAAATGTAATAAAACAAATATTTCTACTTTCAGTGCTTTTTAAGAAAATTTACTTTACCCCAATATATTTTATTTTCTTAGCTACTAACAGAAAATTAACTAACGAAAATAAATTTGCCTATATACTGCAATTTTTCGTTACAATTTTGAAGATATTACGAGTGTAATTGTAATATAATTGAATTATTAAAAACCGCAATTTTCATTATATTGAATTGATGATTGAATATTTAAATACAACTCGATTTATGATTTAACGTCGAATCAAATAGAATAATAAAATATACTTAAAATTTAATGGAAAATATAAAATAGAATATTTAAATTCCAGATGAATATATTTTTCCAAGAATTATCTTTCTCCTGTGACCAGTATTTAAAATTCTCTTTCTCTCTATCAAAATAATGATGATCAAATAATTTTCAACAGTAATATCTCACTATTGTAAGGAGTGAGAGAGAGAGAGAGAGAAAGAGAGAGACAGACAGACCTCGGTTCTAATAGTCATTAGTCAATTCTCGGTGGCTGCTTTACGTAATTCTTCTCGATACAGTATACGTCGCTCTCTTCTCTCGCGTAAGATTCTCTGGCTCGCTCCTCGAGCTGCCCTTTTAAAGGTTTTGTTCATTCGTCGCAAAGATCAAGCAGTTCGCCATGCGGATCAAGCGGATCTCCGCTTCGATTTGAGACCAGTTATCACTGCTACGTGCTCCTCACTCACGCCACCTTATCGATAACCAGAGCTCGCATAATCTTACGTACTCTTACAAATTCGGCCAATCCTGACTATGTCCGTCCTCGGATATTGATTACGCTCGTATTTGATCCGACGATGATATTACGATGTTTATCGTAATACTTCTTGTTACATTTTTGGGACCGTAAAATTCTATTTTCCGCTATTGCTATTAGATGCAAGCCGTCTTTGGAATCGCGTAAGCTAAAGTATTTTTTGTCACGTGCCACGTTCAATTGATCTTTGATAAGCGGCGAGGGATAGTGGTTTCTAGCGGTGATTTTGTTTAAGGAACGATAGTCGACGCACATCCTAACTGAAGCGTTCTTTTTCTTCGCTGAGACGATTGGCGAAACGTAATCGGACTCGCTTGGCCGTATGATATTCCTTTCTGTTAAATAATCGGATATTTTCTGAACTGTGCCCTTCTTCGCGAACGATAAGCGTCGGGGCGAAGAATGAGAAGGTACATGATTTCGTAACTTTCAATTCGGTTCTTTCTTTATTTTCTTCTGCTCGAAGTCACGATTCGGAGGGCGATGACTAACACGTCGGTTTGGTTATCGATAGGCTCACACACGTTTAAATTCATAAACTGCCGACGAGCATTCCTTCGTCTGACTCTACCGATCGGAGTACATAAACTAAGGTTGGATTTTTTCATGAAGTCACGGCCTAATACAGCGGAACCATCGTGCTGTCGGGCATCACAAATAAGCGTACATCGTAACATTTATGGTCATCGAGACTAACATTAGCGAGCACCAACCCGCGCACGATCACACGACTGTTATTTATTCCGAACAAATTGGTGTTTACCTCTTATGTCGACTTTATGTTGCTCGATACAAAACGCTTCTTAATAAAACTAACTGCACTTCCCGAGTTTAAAAGGGTGTCTAAACATAAAGCGAAAGGTTTGCTATTCGAACCGATTTCGTATGTCGCCTTCTTCATAAAGTCATGTTCAGCCAGGTCCTCGGACACATTGTTCACCTCCTATGTCTGAATTCGCCACACTGGTAGCAGCTTCCTCGTTCTTTCTTCGGGCGCGTACAGTTCCGAGAGAGGTGACCTGTCTCGTTGCAATTGAAGCAACGACGACTCGCTTCGATCTTCTGTCCGAGTCGCCCTGCGTCGGTCGTCTTCGTGGCCGTCGAGTCTCCTTCTTGCGGTGCCACCTTCCGTTGCGCTGACTCGCTGGGCAAAGTTATATTTTCGAACGTCTGCAACATCTCGTCCGTTGTTTCAAAGCGCTGCATACTCGGCTGATTTCTCAGACTTTCGTTCGGAATTCCGTATATCACGTACTCAATGATTTCGCGTTCTTGCAGTAGAACTCTGCCGGCTAAAATGATCTTGTCGCGCAGATAATCCGCAAAGACTCCCCCCGATTGTGAAGTGTGCTTTTCGCACTCGTAGATCCACGGTGCACGCTCGATGTCCGAACATCTTTTGTATCCTCGCGAGCAGTTATACATAACTCAAGTCCACGCAGTCCTTCTGTGCGTGATACCATCTCAATGCCTTGTCTAATAAATAAAGTAACAAATAAACCTAATAAATACCGATATCGCTCGAATTACCGCATCGGTCCGAGTGGTGCCTGAGAAGCACCGCTCGAGCTGTCGCATCACATCGGGTGGTAAGGGGTTAAGTTTCGAGCGCAAAGGGTTAAGTTTGCCGCATACAAATGTCTTTGCCGTGTACTCGTCCAGCGCATATGTATGAATGAACTTCTCTGCTTGCCGTCTCCAATGATCGCAGGTGCCAGAGCCGTCATAGTCGCTAACCTTCGCGTCCCTCTACGTAGCAACTGTAGACGACGTCGACGGTCGGCTTCCTTCCACGCTGTGGCCACTCCATCTCGTAAGTTCTAATTCTCTCCTAAGGAGACGTACCTCTCTTTCGACCAGTTCGTTCACTCGAAGCAATAACTCCCTTTCCGTGACCTGGGGCTGAGCAGGGGGTGATAGCGGACGTTCTATCCGCACCGCATCGACAGGCATGGTCTCGTTCCCATCTGATGGTCCCCCTTCAGTTTGATCCATAATATCTTCTCGCAGGTCGTCACGCGTGCTTGCAGTAAACAGTTCATAAGCTCGCTTTTTAAACCGACCGATAACATGTTCAGGCTTCGTAACTTTTTCTTCGCCGCTGCCACCAAAATTTGCATATTCGTTCTCGAGGCCTTCCTAAATGCACTGCGTAACTCTAAATCCAAGTTCTAAATCACTCGTAATAGAGTCACTTCGTCGTCCAACACGTAAATTCGTACGGGAGAAAAACTAAGACGAAATTCGTAATTCGCGTAACTTGTGATATCCACTCTGGTAGACACATAAAGTTCTATCCCACTTCTGAAATTTGTAAGGGAAGAGAGAGAGAGAAAACTCGACTTTAATGATTCTAACTCTCGGTGGCTGCATTACTTAATTCTTCTCGATACAATACACGTCGCTCTCTTCTCTCCGGCTCGCTCCTCGAGCTGCCCTTTTAAAGGTAGGCCTCCTTTGTTCATTCGTCGCAAAGATCAAGCGGATCGCCGCTTCGATTTGAGAATGCCGCCTTATCGGTAACCGGAGCTCCCGTAATTTTACCAACTCTTACACTATCAGGTGAAGCAACATATATCGAAGAATTATGGATAATGTTTCTAAATATTTATAAATAATAAAATGCACTTTTTCAATACATATTTTACTTCAGATGCATTATTATTTTCGAAAATTGAACTCCAACCCGTGTATTTCATTTATTACGACTTAATTAATAAAACAGAAAATATCCTAAAATTTCCAGACACTTTTATATATAATATTAATATTCTCTCACATTTATACAGGTATTTGAATACTTTTCTGATAACTATAATCGATGTGTCCACATTTGATATTTAAAAATTTCGTATTTATTATCTGATTCTTTTACAATTTCTTCAACACGTTCTCAATACGTGTATCCTACTCCAAATGCAAAATTATTTTCAAAATTTCAAGTTCAATGTGCATATTTCCTTTATCAAACGTTTAGAACGCAAACGTACTTTCATATCTTTCTATCATACAGAATGGACCACTTAAGAACATTTCAATTGTTTTTAAAAAATTTTTTTTAATTATATGGTATTTTAAAGCTTTTTCGATATACTATTATTTACGATTTTTTGTTGCTTTTCTAATAACAAAATAATTAGAAATAACTGAGATGGTTACCTTAGATGGTCCATTCTGTATATTACACCTCCAACTGAAAGCACAAGTATCTAAAAATTTCCAAATATTGAATTTTTATTTATAAAAGTATGGTTGAGAATATTCGGGTTGTTTCGTGCTGTTCAAGTATAAATAAGAGGGAATTGAATTTTGCCGGAATACGAGAAATAGATTAATATCTTGAATAAAACTGAACGCGGTCAATTTATTTACAGCCACTATGGGAAATGTCCATCTTATCATCTTATCATCTTTGATGACATCTGCCGTGTGACAAGAGGCCGATATGAAGAGCGAGGAAAAAGTGATGTGCACGCCACTCGCATCATCGTGTTAGCTGCATAACTGAATTGCAGAATATTTAGAGCACCAGTGGCAGCAAGGTGCTTTTAGGTACGTAATTCGATAGCGAACTTTCGAAAATGTAGCAAGGCGATGGCTAAAATAGTGATTTCGATAAAGTTGATTTATCAAACGATTAAACAAATACAAGTATTGCGAATTTTTATATATTATTCGTCGTTCGAGCAGGATTGTGGTTACATAGGAGAAATGAAATTAAGACGAACGACCATTGCGATATTTTTCAAAAATAATATTTGATAATTATACTAATAGTTACTATAAGAATTTTTGTATTCTTTGTTGGATGGACGTACATAGATATGCACAAATTGTAATTTACATGAGTATACTATCTATAAGATCTAATTTTG